TTCTTTCACGCCACACTTCCCAGATGGTCAACACGATCAGTGATCTCAGCCCCTCTTTCATTGGTAACGGTAGTCTATTCATCATCTGAAGAAACCACTCCTTGATATTATCTGCGTCTTCCCAATTTGCCGGCTGCAGGCACGGTGCACTCACCCAGAGCCCCACCCTTTCCCATATCGTTTTGACCACTGGACACTCAAGCAAAAATTTCAACTAAAGATATCTCAAACATACATGCATTTTTTAAAACATGTCTTGAAAGCCCATGCAGGATGGGTTGGTGGAAGATATAAATCAACACAGTACTACCAATGGATCAGAGTAACAATAGGATACTCTGTTAGAGCTACTGCAGTACGTAAAAGCCCTCCCAAGTTAGGGCTCATATTTTTATTTGTGGGCTACTATACTTTTGCTGGCTAAATTTTTGGGACTCAAGTCCTTCAAGAGCCCTTAAATAAGGGCTCCTGCTACTGCCACATAGATGATTCTTCAGACAGACAAAATCGACTTTTAGGAACAATTTTTGAAACAGCAGCTATGCTATGACTGTTGAAACAATAACTTTTCATAGGTTGTTTGAAAACAACCCTGTTTTTTTTTAAAAAAATTAAAAAGTATTTTAATGTGCCCAAGGGCTACAGTCACCTCTTGCGCATGCATCTCTCCTGCACACCGCACCATGAAGTCACTTGTAACAAAGATGCTACCTCTTTGTATGAACATTTATGAATCTTGTATTGATAATTTTAGCTACTAAAGAGTATCAAATGCAAAATCGTTCAACTATAATGTTTTAGAACAAATGGCACAGTCCAATTTTGGTATACGCCATGTCTCCACCGAAGGTAGTTGGAGAACTTCAAAAACTTTAAATTCAAAATTTTGATATTTTCAATTTTTCAACTGATATCATTTAAGATAATTAAGAATTTATCAACTACAATGTTTGAGATCTTGTCCAACTCTACAATTATAATATAGATTTTGTTTTTCATCTGATATCATTTAAGATAATTATGAATTTATTTGGTTGGCAGCTATTTTCAAGGTTAGTTGACTTAGTCAGCCGTCCCTGAAAATTGATTTTTAAAAATGGTAGTAAATACATGCATAGATTTTTAGAGACAGTTTTTATTAAGCTAACTTCCAAAGGAAATCGATTTCAAGAGCCGGTTTGTAAGCTACGGGGCATTAAACATTTATAGAGGCAGGACTCTTAAAAATAGGAGGCGGTTAATGTAAAAATGATTTTTGTGGTAGTATACGACTTTTACACATGGGACCGATCCATGAGCTTATTAGAGCAAGGCCAATAATATACCTTGGCCGTCTGTTTGTTGTATATACATTTATTTACTGTCCACTTATATAGTAGTTGGCTAATCTCTGATTCACTTTTTTTCTCTCTTGAAGTTTCTTCATTCCTATGCATAAGCTGGCTCAGCCCACTCCTCTTCTCTCTACTCTCCTCTTTACCCGGCCTCAAAATAAAGCCCACTTATAGACAGTTCACTATTTACTCCTACTCAGTTCATCACCTAGGGTTCCATGAACCATCCCGTGCAACTCGGCAACTGCATTGAGTGTGCAGCGTGGAGTCAAATAAGAAGCAAAGGTAAGGCTCAACCAAGCACTACTGGAAACTCGAATTGCCCTGTGCGTGACGAATTTTTCTGTGCGTTTTTTTCGGTACGCACAGAAAAATTACGATGATTTTGCTGGTTTCAAAATACCCCGACAGAAAAATACGAAAACCCACAGAATAATTGTATGATTTTTCTGTGCGTGACAATACACACACGGAAAAGTCAACATTCACAGAAAAATGCAATTTATTTTGTTGGTTCTTTAAAAACGCACAGAAAAAATATATGCACGCATAGGATAAATAAAAAACAAAGAAGTCCTAACCCTAACCCACCGGCCGCCGCCCCCAAAACACCCCTCAAGACGACGACTTTCATGGACTCGCCTGCTCGGCTCTCCTCACGCACGCACGCGACACACAACTGCTGCCGCGCCAGCGCACGCATGACGCACGCCGCACCTGCCGCCTTCTTCTTCTTCCCCGCGGCCCCCTCCCCCCCTTCTTCACGGCCCAGCCCCCTCCTCCCCCTTGGCGCCCGCCCTCCCCTTCTTCTTCCCGGTGGCGGCCACCCTCCTCCCCTTCTTCACCCGGCCGGATCCGGCCCTCCCTCTCCCGGATCCGGCCGGTGGCTGCGGTGGTGGTGGTGGTGGTCGGCAGCGGGACATGGTGGCGGCGGCGGCCCTCCCATCCCCCTTCTTCTCCCCCGCCGGCGCCCCTCCCATCCCCCTTCTTCTTCCCCGGCGGGTGCCCCTCCCCTCCCCCTTCTTCACCCGGCTGGATCGAGCCCTCCCTCTCTTGGATCCGGCCGGTGGCTGCGGTGGTGGTGGTGGTGGCCGGCGGCGGGGCGTGGTGGTGGCGGCGGCCCTCCCCTCCCCCTTCTTCTTCCCCGGCGGGAGCCCCTCCCCTGCCCCTTCTTCTTCCCAGGCGGGTGCCCCTCCCCTCCCCCTTCTTCACCCGGCTGGATCCGGCCCTCCCTCTCCTGGATCCGGCCGGTGGCTGCGGTGGTGGTGGTGGTGGCCGACGGCGGGGCGTGGTGGTGGTTGTTGGTTGTTGTATTTTTTATGTGCAATCCTGTGATGCAAATTCCCATTTCCTGAATCACTATGATTATTGCAACAAAATTCACCATCTTTCGGCTGAGATTGCACCGCAAATTTAGTTTTTATTGCATTCAGAGTATGTTTTCTAGTGTAATTTGTTGTAGTCAATGCCATTTGGTATCTGACTTGCAGTCATTCTTTGTGATTGTGTGTCTCGAAACATGGCAGAATACAAGGGGGAACGGATCTTGCGACACTGGTTGCTTATTTATGAGTTTCCAATTACTATATGCCCGTTTACATGTTCCGATTGTTCTAATGATCATGACTGAAAAAATTGATGATTGTTTTTTTCTTAGCTAGTTAGCCAGCTAGGTGTAATTTGTTTTCTGAATAGTCTTTTGTTTTTTCTTAGCTAGCTAGCCAGCTAGTGTAATTTGTTTTCTGAATACAGTCTTACTATTATTATTGGAGTTCACTTGATTGGCCTTTCTGCTAGTGGCATCTTGACTGAAAACTGATGTCAATGGATTAGTAGCATACTTAATAGTGAAGTAGTTGATAAGTAGAGTTTAGAAATTTCCTTGGTGTTGAGATGGTAATGCTTTTGAATTTCCTGTTCCTGCTTTTTTCCTGTGAAAAATGAACCGATTCCTGTGAAATTCTTATATAATTCCTTAGGGCAGTTTGTTCCTACGTTTCTCTTATTCCTGTGTTTCTAGAAGAATTTTGCATTCCAATGAGGCCCTAAACCAGTTTCCTGTGGTATATAACAAGCCTAAGGTAAGTCATGTAGCAATTACCAATATATTTAGGTCAACTTTGCCACTGCAAAACCAGGGTGAAAACACTAATATAGTTATTTACCCTAAAAATACAGATTATCGCATTCTTAGTATGCTGGATCCTTGTAGGAATGTATTCTTAAATTATATTTGTATTTTTTAAACAAATATCAATGCCAACAATCTTGTTTCAGGGTGTCTCAAATCAGAACAAAAACTGAAAAGAGACATTCGGTGAGGACCGTTTTATTTGTGAACTTCCAAAGAGTTTTGTGTTTGTTTATCAACTTGTGTGCTCTTGGTATTTATGTGATCGCATTTTCTTGGAATTTGGAATTATTGTGGGCATGGCCATAACACAAGCAGGGTTCACAAGCCAGAAGTGGAGAAGCCTAGAACCAGATCAGCTGGGAACTATCCAGTGTCCTGAATCTATAGTTAGACATATAGTATGGTGGAAATTAACAGGACTCTTGAAGATTATCTGGCTAACTCAAACTGAAGTTCCATTAGCTTGGTTTTGAAAACTGGAGAGATTAGATCTCCTGCCTCAGTGCTTCTCCAAGTTCTGGAAGCAGCTGCTTCACTCCTATTTTCTGTATCCTAGTCAAAACAAAGGATTTTTCCATGTAACAAGCTAGTTGCTATTTGTCATTTGCTTAGGCAGCCTCTCAATTCCTTCAGCTACTCTGTTTTTCACCCTTTCAGGAGGAAATCCAGAAGAAAACAGGCTATATAGAAAGGCGGGGAGATGGAACATTTGATGTTGATGCAAATACATCGATAGATCACCTATCTGAAGAGCTTGGTATCAAAATACCAGAGGTATTGTTTCTCATTTGATCTTAGCTTTCTCTACAGTTGCTATGCATTCCCTTGGACATGTGTATATTGTTGGAGTGGACACCGTATGATGATCATCGAAATGTGAGTTCCATCATTTAGAGATGCCTGGTTTGCAGAATCTATACAGATATGACGTTATTATATCTATTTTTTGGTGGAAACTGGACATTTAATATTTAGGTCAACAAAATATTCACAAATGTTCTGTTTGTGAGATATGCCCTTGGCAGTCATCATTATATGGTGCTGTGTATTTCTGTCATGTTTCTCGTAGATTGGCTGATATCTTGAGACACTTGGACAATTTCTTTTGGCAGGGGCATCAGTATGAGACGGTGTCTGGTTTTGTCTGTGCATCTTTTGGCTATATTCCAGAAGAAGGTGGGAAATGCTTGTGATTCTTGAAAAGGATTACGGAGAAGGAAACGGTGAATATCAGGAGGAAGGTTCTGATCGCCAAGATGATAGAGCAAAAACTCAAGCTTACGAACTTGAGGTAATTGCTACAACTCCTTGTGTACTCTGTTTGCTCAAGAGTTCTAGTACCAGGTCAATTATTATTATACGATTATCTTGTCATCACTAGAAATCTCCCTCTAAGAACTTACTAGTTTAGATAACTATTATGAATTTTCCTTGTCATTACTTGAAAGCTGAAAGACACCACTAAAAGCTTCAATTTTCTTTGTTGATGCAATACCATGAAACTTTTTTTTGTTAAGTAACTCTCATTAGAATCAATTTTCCATACAGGGCATTTGGCTCTGATGATTCCTCTGGTGATGAGTATCCAGATATAACAGAGAATGGTTGCTATCGCCGTGGAGCTGGAAGCTTTTACATTCACAGACAGTGGTTGGCACGGTCGGGAATAAGGAGGCGGCGGCGACAGCGGCAGTGGTGTCACGCAGCGGCCTGCACGGGTAGAGCAGCTCCGGGTGGAAGAACCACTTCACGGGCATCTCCCTCGGGGAGGTGGTGGCCGCAGGGCGGGGGGCGAGCACGTGGAGAAGCCTCTCCTCCCGCTTCTCCCTGATCCTCTCTGGCTCCCTGAACCTCTGCTGCAGCAGGGTGATGGAGGAGAACATCACCTGACCTTCGCTGCTCTGCACCCCCATGATTACTGAGGAGAGGGAAACTGAAATAGTGAAATTCATGAACTGCTGAGATGAGATGGTAATGCTTTTGAATGTATTGATGCCGGAACATTTGGACATCATCTACATGTAGCCTAGATGCTATGAATGAATGTGCTGAACATTTGGACTCCATCTTTGTATGTTGTGATGAAATTACTGTAAGGACAGTCCATATTTTAATATGTTGTTGCTACTATTTTCAAATAATTATTGTATCCAATTTGTTGCATGGGGAGCATAGTTTTTAAGGCGGTGAGGCGTCCAGGCGAGTGCTTGGTACGCCTGGACGCCTAGGCGGCGCCTAGGCGACGCCTAGGGGGCAAGGCGCCATTGTTTCCACGGCGAGGTGGGCACGCCACGCCTAGGCGACGCCTTAAGAACTATGATGGGAAGTGTATATTATTCTGTCGGTGGCCTGTTAATACCGGACAGAAAAATACAATTTTTCTGTGCGTTCACCTAACCCGATAGAAAAATTCATTTTTTTCCTGTGAGTGCACCTCTGCAACTCTGACGGGACAACACTAACATAAAAATGATTTTTCTATCGGGTTTTTCTTTTTTCTGTGAGGAATAATGCACATAAATTTTATTTTTAATCTGACTGAACACAATTTTTCTGTGCGTGTAACACCCACAGAAAAATTGTTTCTAACGGCGAACACACAGAACAATTGAATGTTTTTGTCATTATATTTCCGTGTGTATTTTTCTGAGGGTACACCATCAAAAAATTATTTTTCTGATGATATTTGTATTTTTCTGTGTGTTTTCGCACACACAGAAGAATGCGAGTTTCCAGTAGTGAAGGAAGTCAAACCAAACGAGACATTATGATACTTTGCTACTTCATCTCTAATAATGTACTCCCAACTTTCTTAAAGAGTTAAAGCATGTCAAGTTTGATTAAAACTATAAAGAGGATTATAAAGATTTATGACACTAAATAGGTATACTTGATGAAGGATCTAGTGATACTTATTTGGTATCATAAATATTATTATTTTATCATATGAATTTGGACAAACTTAACATACTCTAATTCTACAAGAAAATTAGAATGACATAATTTAAATTTAGAAGGGAGGGGTATCAACTTGCATGTTTGTATCACCGCGCTTGCACGCACGAATGTGACAGTCGAGAACGTCCTGTAACGGAAGGTGGAACGTCCCATGGCTGCTTAATCTACAGCTTACTCGGGTGGTGGCTGCCAATTAATGGCAGAGTGGACCAAGTGGTGATAGCATAGACACGTGGACCAAGATGAACAGTAACTATATCCTTATTTACTCAGTCCAAGGAAATTGACTTTTGGATCTCAGAGTTGGGTAGCAGCGATGTGTGGCTGGGTGCACGCCAAAGTTGATGTGTTACTGTTGCAAGATGGAACGAAATTAACAATTTGATCGCCCATCTCTAGATGCAACGTGTAGATGCCATGCATGGTGCTCCACGCTCTAAACCTCGGTCCACGGGTGCCTGCCTCGAGTGGCTGGAAGCTTCACGTGTGACTGCATCGGGTGCAGGTACCATGCCAGTGAACTAATTGAGGACATCGGGTTGCTTTAACAAATGAACATTAGGGTGCCAAGTGTATTAGAGCGACTCCAGTATGGGCACCCAAATCAGGCCTCTACTTTCGATTTAGGTGTTACCTCTACTTTTGTTAGCCTAATTGTAAGGAAGCGACTCCAGTATGGGCACCCATATTTAGGGGGAGTATTTCTACAACTTGGATGCTTTGGGACTAACACTTTTTCAAATGGTATCAATTTTTCTAACCTATCACATGTGTAAGTCTCATTGTAAGGAAATTGAAGTCCCCGGAGTTAAGCATCTTTCTTCAATTGGCATAATCATGTTGATTTCATTTCATATTCATATGCTTTCTTCATGCATTATATAGATTAAACTCTCTTGTACAATAAATTGCTAATTATGCATATGCTTTGCTTTCTACCATATGTATGCATATATTTAGGGGGAGCTTAGTCTATATAATGTGAGAGTCAAAATTTGTGATTCATTTCACTCTATACACAAAGGATCACGAAGTTTGACCCTCCCTTGTGCTACTAATGTCTTCCTTTTCGGTGTTTGATGCCAAAGGAGGAGAATTTGAAGGACCAAAGACAAGCATTTAGGACCAAAGACAAGCATTTAGTTACAAGTAGTAATGGTCCGAGAAAGGGAGGAAAGTGAATTATGGGAGTCTAAGTAATGGGAGATTTTTTTTTGAAAGCTAGGCTTTAATCCATAATATCACATGGGGACATTTGCAAGGGCAAGACAAGCTTTTAAGTAAAGTTTTAATTGGTATCTGTCAATTAGTATCATATATCCTTGCCCTTTGCATTGCATCCTAGCAAGTAGGTAGCTTTTAACTTCCAAATTCTTATTATTTGCTTGCTTTGGTCGTGTTGGCATCAATCACCAAAAGGGGGGAGATTGTAAGGAAAATGGACCCTTGGCCCATTTACTTTGGATTTTGGTGTTTGATGACCAACACAACCAAATTGGACTAATAAATTTGCAAGTGTTTATTTTGTAGTTCAATAAGGTGCAAGACGTGACTTGGACGAAGGCGACGTGGTGATCCGATGATCAACACTTTAAGAAAGACCTTAGAAGCACAAGAGAAGACCCAAGATATCAAGTAAAGTCCAAGCACGAAGATTGAAACCAAGCCGTACGCAAGATCGCAAAGAAATGAGCTCACTGTGGTGACCGGATACATGACCGGACGCTGGACAAGCAACCGGACGCTGCGACCGAACGCTGGGCAAGTGGCTCGACAGACAGGCGACCGGATCCCAGACCGGACACTGGCGGCAACCGACCGGACGTAGGACAACAGTGTCCGATCGATTACAGTAAGGTTCCAGAGCGGCGTATCTGTGACCGGACGCGTCCGGTGGTAGGCGACCGGACGCTGGCCAGCGTCCGATTAGCACATTGCTGGCTCAACGGTCGGGACGACCGGACACGTCCGGTCAGTAGCAGAATTGCGGGAGTTCGACCCCAACGGCTACTTTCTCAGTGGGGCTTATAAATACAACCCCCAACCGGCCATTTGAAGCAGGTGGAGCTGAGGAAACATACCAAGGGTGTTGATACACCATTTTAGTGATCTCCACATGCATAGTGCTTAGTGTTTTATTAGGTGATTAGCATAAGTGCTTTGCGAAGTGCTTAAGTTGATTAGACCACCACTTATGCGCTTGCTCTAGGTTTATGCCTAGTGTTTAGTGAGGTTTGCATACCTCTTGCCACCCCGTGCTTGAGAGCACAAGTGTTGTACATCGGAGGGGCTTGAAGTCTTGCGAGATCACACCAACCGCGTTTGTGGTGTGGCCGCCACCGTGTACCAGAGAGAACAAGGCCCGCGGCGTTTCGGCCGGAAGCTTGATAGTGAAGACGGCGGGGAGCATCCGGGAGAGGCTTGCCGAGAGGCACATCGAAGACCCACTTGCGCGTGGGGAAGGCCCGAGGCTATCCATGGAGTTACCCGACCGGGAGCTTGGCCCTTGCGAGGGATTCCTTGCGAGGGGCTCCAACGAGGACTAGGGGGAAGCTTGCGCGCTTCTCGATACCTCGGTAAAAATACCGGAGTCATCGACGGGAGTTTGCATATCTCTACCTTGCTCTTTAGCTTCCGCATTTACATTGATTACTTTACTACATTTGCGGTAGAGATAGCAACACACTAGCAAAACCATAGTTGCACATCTAAATAGTTTATCTATTGCATATGTTTTGCTAGGGTTAGAAAAAGATGCCATAGTTTAGAGTTAGATTTTTTAAGTTGCCTAATTCACCCCCCTCTTAGGCGTCACGGTCACTTTAGGTTGGGCTTTTGGCTTTGGTTTTTGGCCCCAAAAGCCAAAACCCAACCAAATGGGCTGCTTTTAGAGGCTGCTTTTTCAGAAGCAGCTGCTTTTCCGTAGTACATTTTTAAAAGCTGGTTTGACCCTGCTTTTGACTTTTGGCTTTCTGCTTTTCGAAATTGGTGGAATAAAAAGTTCTTCCATAGTTGTTTCAAGAGAGATAAAGATAGAAGGCTTATTTAACCAAACAGCTTTCAGCTTTTCTATAGCTCACAGTCCACAGCAGCTTTCCCACAGCTCAAAACCCACAACAGCTTTTTCCCACAGCCACAGCTCAACCAAACACACACTACTTAGTTGGCAACCTACGTACATTTTCAGGCTCACAATGAATCCGCAAGCCGGAATAAGCTGTATCATAACATTTGTTTTGTAACATGACGACTCACAACTTAATTATATGTACAAGGCTCTGTATTCTCAGGTGGTAACCTGCATCCACAGTACACACAGATTCGAATAAAAAAACTAATTCACATCACATCACATTTGCAGTGTCCAACTTCTGACGACCCGCAGCGTAGTAATCGGCTCCATTGCTTCTTCTTCCGCCGAAGCGATGATAGCTCCAGCCTCCAAGGCTGCTTTTTGTCCATGCGGCACTCCACCTGCAGGCGAGGTCTTTTATGCATTCTATAATCGATAGTGCTAGAGACGTATGTAGTAATAATAATAGTCTTGGAGTAGCATGCATACTTTATTGTTACTCCCTCTGTTGTTCCACGATGAATTCCCTTCAAACTTGCTCCACTTTGTCCAATAACACCTCCTCTGTTTCATCCCCTGAAACGGACCGTCTAGTCAAGTAACCAGATATTCCAATAGCAAGAAAGGTACATACTCAGTATGCAACGTCTAAAGCAGCAGTTGTGTTAATTTACCTGAAGCGTCAGCAGAGACGTTGATGTTTGTCTTGAAGCTGAATGGATCGCCTGTGTACTTCACGTACCACTTCCTTTCAATGTTGTTGTCATCATCATCTGCATATGCATTGACCTGCTTGATATGGCTGAACTTGTCCCACTCAGGGCCAGATCTTCCTTTAGCTATGGAAGTGAGCAACAGGACATCACAGTCTAGATCCAAATGCCTTGGCTTTACGTCCTGCAAATATCCAGGGAGTGTTTCCATGTCGTAGTCCTCCAGCCAGAGTTTCTGAAGTGCAGGCAAACCCTCTATTACCTTCAACTCTGGGCATCTTATGATCCCGAGGTCCTGCAATTTTGGCAGATTGCTGATCCTATCCAGGCTAGGACATTCACCCACAATAATTTCCAAACCAGAACCAAAGTTCTCCATAGCGCTTGGGTGCTCATGATGGTGTGGTAGTAAGAACTCTGGCCCAACATGCTTGATGGCTGGGGCGCTTCTAATCTGTAGGAACTCCAAGCTGGGGAGCTGGAACAAGCCATCAGGTAGCTCTGTGCAATAAGGCAAGTCTTCCATGAATAGAATCCTCAAGCATCCAAGGGACACAATTGCTGTCGACGTCATCCACCGTGGAAGTCGTTGACTAAAGTACACTTTGATTGCAAGATTTTCTAAGCAAGGCGGAGGGCAGAGCTCATCAAACACCTTCTCGATGTGTTGCTGCTCTTCCTGTTTCACCAACCGGTGAGCACCTCCACTACTACTAGTGCACTGTAAGTCCAGATAGCTGAGGCACACCTTTTCACCAAGCCTGGCTTTTATAGCAAATGAGGAAGAAGATACATTCTCCAGGCCATGTATACGAAGAAGCATGAGCCGGTTAAGAGGTCCTAATTCTTCCAAACTACACCAATCACCCTCCACGTGGGCAGGAAACCCCTTCAATACCCTTAAATTAGTTAGGCCACTGAAACCCCTGGGTATATTATTTATACCTGAGTTAACAAGGCTTAGATACCTCAGCTGTCGTAACATTCCAATGCCAGCAGGAAGCTTCATCAAACTTTTACAATAAGAAAGGTCAATGCACTGCAAGAATTTCATCTTGGCTATTTTTTTTGGCAGCCTAGATGTGTTAGTGCCAAGAAGGCTTAAATACCTCAAGTGTTTGAGTTGGACCAAAGATTCAGACAATGCATCAAAATTCCCATCTTCTATATGTAGGGTCCGCAAACAAGGAAAAGATGACAGTGAATCACCTGGGTTGATCTTTGTTTCCCCAACTAAAATAAGTGTTTGCAGTGATATATGTGCTTGTAGAGAACTCCACTCTAGCTCATTTGACTCTGATTCTTTGGATTTTAGTGATAACCGAATAACATTTTGTGGGTTAATGTTATTGGTATGGCCAGGCTCAGTTTTGTGAGCTATCAATGCTTCATCTCTAGTCAAATATTGAGCGAACGAGCGAACAACATCATGCATATTGCAAACTATCTGGTCTACGTACCCTTGATCAGGCTCTAGAAGGTTCCTAGCTATTAACTGGTCATGGTACTCTTTTCCTAACACTTCCAAATCCTGTGAGTTTCCATGAACAAATCCTTCACTAATCCACATGGCAACAACTTGCTCATACAAGAACACCGTGTTCTTTGGGAGGAGGGCGTAGTGCAGAAAGCAAGACTTTAACTCAGGGTTCAGATCTTGATAGCTCAGGTATACTGCATAGTTTAGCTCTTCAGGCATTTGAGATACTGACCATGTAGAATCATTTAGGACATTTTTCCAGTCGCTTCGCCTTATGTTTTTCTGGCGGAGAAGGCCTCCTATTACTTTGACTGCGAGAGGCAAACCATCACATTTTGCTATAATCGACGTTCCAATGTCCTTCAATGCATCAACCTTTGGTTCATCATTGTTTTCATTTCCAACCACCTGCAAAGCAACTTAAGCTTGTTAATTGAATGGAATATGTAGATATAAATACACTTGGTCATAATCGGAAGCAAAATCAAGTGCTAAAAATGATACTGTGTGCAGAGGCAAAATTCACATGCGACGTTCTAAGCGTATGACCGATGTACCAGTCCACTAAAATAGATGGAAAAATCATCGTATATGTATATCACCACGGTGCAATTAGGTGACGTCTGTGACTGTGTACAAGAATAGTGTTCTCATCAGTCACTATCATTACCAACTCTCGTCTACCCGATGTTTATAGTCACTCCAGTATTTATCGTATCTTTTACTTAATTTTTTCTTATTTTATTAAAAAAGGTTGTACAGTATGCCAGACTACTTCTCACTGCCAAGTACTGACAGTGATAAGTGATAAAAAAGCACAAAATGTACGCCAGATTACTGCATCTTCACTGCCAGTAACCGACAATGACAGTATTTAAACTAAAGATCTCAATATTCTCCTGAGCATCTATACCAGCAGAGCTATACAACACTTGTGACTATACAACTGATGCTATTCTTTTAACTACACAATTTTGAATCTTATATGCATATTTGATACTCTAAATGATCTCAAATGAAAAGGTTGTTAGCTGCAAAGTTGTAGATCGATCTCATCGACTACTAACTCTACTATTGACTTTGTCTCCATTCGACATCATTAACCATCTCAAATCCCATTGGTGAACTTACATAGAATATTTTGATATGTAAACCATCTTCAATTAAAAAGTTGTTAACTACAAAGTTTTAAATCTTTTTGAACGTATAAAGCTTATCTTATCAAACATCATATGAAAAAGTTATTACTTTTTCGTAAAATAGCATATCACTGTTGGTTGTAGCCACAATCCGGCCACGACGGATGGTCCTTCACTTCATGTTCGTGGCTATAACCAGTAGTGATAGTACATTGCCTGTCACTATCACTTGTAGCCACGATTCATTCGTGAAAGTTCATCTATCACTGTCAGTTGTACTATCACTACCGGTTCCAAAGCAACCAGCAATGATGGTCCGACAATGATGACCTGTGTTTGCGGTAGTGCTAGGTCCTATGCTACCCACTTGCCTATTAATAATGGTTTGAACTATCATGTCAGCCTGCACTATGGCACTAAAGGCCATGTTTGGATGTTGTATTATTAAGAGACATAGTATTAAGAAACAACGATTTTAGAGCCTATAGATGTGGTAAACCATGATTTAGCAACAAAGAGGTCTAGATATGAGTTTATAAAACTCTAAAGAGACTACAAATTTAGCAAAACTCTAGTTTTCAAAACCATAAAATTTGTTGCATCAAAACACTTCATACAACTCTAATAAAATCAAAGTATTTCATAAAAGCATGGTATTTTTGTAAAACTCCAAAAATACATCTGCATCCAAACAGGGCCTAAGATTTTGAACTTGCTACATTCAAAAATTGTATATGTAGTAGAAGTATTATTTTTATAAAAATATAGAATAATCAAAATTAAATTACCAGTGTCGACTTGACATAGTATTTGAGTCAAATTTTATAAAATTATTTGAAATAAAAACTTATAAACTTTTTTGTCATGCCATAGTAATGTAATTTAAAATAAATTATCAGTGTCATTTATATGTGGTTTGTTAAGTAACAGTTTAGCATTTGATGATCTATTAACTAAAAATATCCTAATGTATGTATGTTTGATTGGTCGATATATTAACCCAACTTTATGTTAATAACCGAAATGTATAGCATGGATCATGGAGGATGCAAACTATACAGCCACGATGTTGTCAGAAATTGGTCCTGCTATCGGCCAGGTTGAAGGTGAAAGAAGGAACCAGAGAAACCAGAGGATTTATTTTAACGAACATCTGTCCCTGCTGATGGTTCAGTAATTAACTAATCGGTCCCAATACAAGCCTACATGAAGCTAGTCCTCGTTTGAAACCCAAAGATTGGGTATATGATCCTAGAAAATAAATTCGTCCCTTTGTGACATTTGGTTTATTTTTTTTATTCCAATTTAACACTATATGTTCAATTTCGTAGCAACTTATCATGAGATTATTCATCAAATTACCAAACACCCCTGGTAGAAAAACGAATGGACGGAAGTCAATTATTTGGATCCAACTGGAAAGGTTATTAAAGTCTGCACATCTTGACCTGAAGAAGCTACGTTTTTCTCCCTTATTCATACTCTCTTGGATGCAGGTAAGCCTAATGTGATATCCCTTGTATCCTTAGCTTTTTAACCATTCTAGAGATGAGACAAGTGAGGCAAGTTACATGGACAATTACTCAAGTGTCTATGGTAAAACCTGTCAATCAGGATATATGCCAAAGGCCCCGTGAGTACTTTTCCTAACTTTTTACGCCATGTTCAGAATAGAACTTTAAATCATTGATTTTATTTTAACATGTTTACAGGATCTAGTAAAATTATAATAGTTTGAAAAGGTTGTTAGAGAAAAGGATAAAAGTTACATATGTTATATGTTATTTTAATGTCTAACTCGATGAGATATTTAAAAAGTTACACTCTTATCACCTAATAATAGGACTTCTGAAAATTTAGAACAAAATAAATTAGGCAACAAGAGAAAGCCTAACATTCCCATCATTAAACAGTAATGTCCAGTCCTGATTCTTTATCAGACCGTGGATGATGGGACTTGGTCTTGGAGATATTAAACCTAAGCACCAGACGCCCTTTGCAACGAAAGGATACAGTAGAGTAAAAGTTTAGAAATTTTAATCTCATGACCATCTAAAGAGTTGAGGCTCTCAAAAAAATCTATAGAGTTGCGACCACAAGTATTAGTAACAATGTAATAATGCTTGTACATGAGCTCTTACGAAACTTCACAAGCACCTACAGTCATTTGTGTAATGTAAGAATTTTTTTAAAAAAATATTACTACATGTTACTAACTTTATTATTGTTTGTAGCTTACGCTTATTCCTTTTAGGCTTTTATTTCGCCTGTTCTTTATCATTCTCTGTGTTCATGATTCTTTAATGACATTTCACTACTATAGAAATGGATTTCGCCAACACTATTTTGTTTCGATTAGAAACATCGGTAAAAATATATCACCTCCGGTAATTGAACCGTTGATAAAAATGGCTTTCACCACCATTTGTGGCAGTGAAAACCGGTTTTGAGTATATAGCCGGTCAGAAACCCTAGCCTATTCTCACTCCCTCACCGACACCCCACCTACTGACCACCTCTCTCTCCCTTACTCGAGCACTTCCTTCCGCCCCCTCTCTGCCTCACCAGCACTCCCTCCGGGCCCCCTCTCTATCCCAATGTAGCACCGCGGCTCGAAGATCAGATCTGCCATCGGCGCGGGGGCAGACACCACCCATGGCCATCAGCAGCATGGCGGACGCTGCCCAACATAGAGATGGACCTCGATGTCACAATCCTAGCCGCTAGGGGCAGCTAGCGTAGACCATCATGGACGACTGCAGGCACACATGACACGTGTATTTTTTAATTATTTTTATTCAACTTTCAATATCAGTTTCAATGTGGCGGTGATGAAGGTGAGCATCACCGCCGAATCGCAAAACCGGAGGTGATGGTGGTTTTCAAGCAAGCGGTGATAATGTTTGTGTAGAAGTGTTTTGAAAGTGGTTTACAAACCCTAGATTTCTAATATTAATGCTAAACCAAATAACTATTTTGTACAACCATGCGCATAAGGGCATCTTCAGTGTAGATTTTCTTTATGTGGTTTCTAAGAGTGCCACATCATTTTATAGGTTTAGGTTGATGAATGAAATGATTCCTCTCAAGACACAATTTTATAAATAGATAGTAAAGCAAATGTGAAGAAAATGCGCAAGATTACCGACATCTGAATAGATAGTGTAGCAAATGTGCATGCATGAATGTGTAACAAAATAAAGCTAGATAGATTGTGAAGCAAATGTGCACACATGAATACATAACATATTAAATCCTTAAATTAACTTATACAAACCTGCTTCTTGAGCAAAGACCAGGCATCTTCTTCTTCTAGTTTGTCGACATGGTGGTAGGGCACCTCCGCTATCATGCCTCGAGCGATCGTGTCATGTCTCGTTGTTACGAGAACACAACTTCCACGAGCAAGTGAGTTTATTAATGGAGGCTCGAGTACCTTCTCCCATGCATGGTGGTCCCAAACATCATCCATCACCAATAAGGTCTTGCACCCCTCCACGGCTTCCTTAAGGGTTCGCTCTAGTGTGTCCTTTGTGTTTCTTGGTGCTTGATGGCTTCCTTCTGCTCCAGTGATTGCTCTCTCTAATAGATCAACATCGCTAAATTTTTGATTGACACTCAACCATATTCTCTTTTGAAACTCTTGTTTGATAGAGTCATGATTAAAGATCTTCTTGGCAAGGGTGGTTTTGCCAATCCCTCCTACTCCCACAATAGCATAAACCATAACATTTTTGTGTTCATGTACATTTTTGTCCTTCTTCGTGAGCAAATCCACAAGATTTCTTGTGTCCTCCTCAATCTTCTCACCAACCACACCTAACTCATCCCCCCCTGTTGTCTCACGCCTAGCGTGAAGGGAGGATTCTACCTTTTTTGTGTTGTCCTCATAAGATGCAAGGTTAATGAAGTTGAAGGTTTTGCTACGCTTCTCAATGTCATCTAGCCTCTCATTAAGACTTTTTATGCGATTACCGATGTCATGAGCATGGAGAGGATTCCTCATGCAAAAGAGCAAGGGATTGAAGCAGCCCATATCACAGCTTCGACCCCGTTCCATCGTCTTGAGCTGGCACAAATCAAGGATGTTGGTAGCATCATACATGGCATTCCTAAGCTCTCTCACCCATGATTTCACACTCTCGTCTCTGATATTCCTCTTGTCTGCATCGGCAAGGAACCTCTTAAGGTCCCCAAGCTTCATCCCCATCTTTTTTATCTCATCGGGAACACCTAAGAGCAGATGCACTTCTTCTTTAGCCATCTCCAACAACATGTCTTGGAGGTAGGATGCTAAAGCATCTAGTACCACCGCCATTTTTGCTGCTTCGGTATCTGCAAAATCGAAATTAGATAAAAAATTACGTGTTTCGTTTTAAAGGAAAGGTAATCTTGATGGTAAAAGTACCGAGGCCCCTATAACCTTGGCACTATTATTCAAAAGGGAACACTGCAACAGTAGATAGGTACTAGAATAATCACATTTAAATGATAACTGAGTACTTTTGGTTCCAGATTTGGCACATAGTAGCAAGCTAAAACGATGACGGAGTTAACAAATTAATGAGTAGCTAGCAGACGAGAATATGATGAAGTTTGATCTATGGATGATGTTGAAATATTATATACTTGGGCACCTAAAAATCGAAAGCAGCTACACCAATCTCAAGCCGTCACCCTTGTGTGAGTATATTTGTGAGTGGAAGAAGAGTATAATATCTCCAACAAAAACTAGAAAGAAAGAAAGAAAGAGGATGGAAATAAAAATAGAGAGGGCAGGGAAAGACTAGGCATATGCACCTTGATTTGCAGCGGGAAAAAGAGAATGTTGTGTGTCCTTCAGTTCCGGCGTCAAGGAAACGGACCTGTTGAGCGATAGCTGGAACTCGAAGTACGTAACGTTTGATCAAGTGCCGGCGTGGTTTGCCTAGCAGTTGCACGGTTGGAGATGCCTGGATCTGGCCTCTGGCTCGGTGTGGTGTGGGCTACTGCTCTGCTTGACGGACGCTGGCGGAGGTGGGAGTAGGTGGTGTTAGAAGGGCTGAGGGCCGATAGCGAGGATTGCGGCTAGCCGGCAACGGAGGCGTGAGCTAGGAGACATGAGGTGTGCCTGCGGTGGCTACGCTGTGGCTGCTTTAGTTGGTGAACGAAGGCGACTTTATTTATTGTTGGGCATGGCCACCTAGTTAACTGAGCTGGTAGTGGCAGAGAATTTTTTTGTTTTACTCTGAACAGCTTCAAATATAAACGCACACACACAACCACAAGGTATAGGGATTTTTGTCCACAATAAAAGGAAGTTTGTAGCACACCATAATTTTTTGTTTTGTGTCTCGAGCACACCCAAGCAAATAAAATGACTGGCTAGCCCACGGGACAACATGGAACTTTTATATATATATATATATATATATCCAATGCGACCTCTAGGGACTAGTTAAAATTATTTATTTATTTTTAAAAGAAACAGATCGACAAGTGCTGAATATGGAGTGCTTACAATTATAGAACAAGATGATCGACGAGCTCGCTCGCTGGCAGCTGTCACCTGGCACCGATCGGACCTGTGTGCCCTGAGAATAGATCGACAGAGGGGATGACTGGATCAACAGATGAAGCAGATGAATGAAGCAAACCAGAACGGAAGAGAGGAAGGGGGCGACATACAATTTTTGTATAACTGGAAACCACGATGATGGGTATCTTTGCCGAACAAATACGGAAGAAGTTAAAGATGGGGTTTGAATCAAAACGAATGGCTGCAATCAGCTCTGCAAATAAGAATGGCTTATTCGTCAGTGGTTCGTTCAATGCGATCTCTAGGGAGGGTCAATATTTGAAATAAGAGAAAAAGAAACTGCTCGAGGAGAAGTGCTGAATCAATATTGGGTGCTTACTGCTTACACAGTTACCGATGAAGACCATGATGATGGGTATCTTCGCCAAACAAAAAATGAAAGTTGGGTTTGAATCACAACGAATGGATGCAATCAACTCTGCAAAAACGAATGGTTTATTATTCGTCAGTGGTTGGTTGGCTGAATACGGCCTCTAAGGGAGGGTCATTCTTTTTCATTATTTCAAATAAAAGAAAAACAGACAGATCGAGCAGAAGTGCTCACAGTTACCGAGCAGGACTGCAAGACGATCGACGAGTTCGCAAGCTCGCAGCTGGCACCTTCCGATCCGAGGCTCTCGCGCCCGGAGACGAGAGTGGACGGATCGATCAGCAGAACAGTGATGTGTGTGACATGAATGAATGAATGAACGAGAGAGACGCGTAAAAGCAGAGGAGGCCCGCATGCTTTATACACACACTGTCACGGGGACGCGTTGATACCAGCACACACCACAAACGACAAGGCCCGCACTGCGAATGATTGCTACTGCCAACCAATAACGGGCCCACTCGGTTTCAATCTGCTTGAGGAAAACTTTGCGTCCGACGAGGCGACGACTCCGAAGGTGACCCCGAGACCGAAACCGAAGCCGAAGCCGGATTCTGGCCGAGCCTGGGCCCCCGGTAGGGACACCGAGGACAAGGAGGCGAGGCGAGGCTTGACATGCACACCGTCAAGCAGTACTCCGATCCGCGATGTTCTCACTCCTGTCACCATCGGCACGTCAGCTTATCACTTTCATCTCGTCTCAGAGTTGGTCGAGAGACTCCAATGCCCGTATGCCGACAGCAGCTTGCGTCACACCAATCTTGATCGTTACTGTACGTATGCCTCCGTGTCCACTCCACCCGCGTGGCTGACTGCGGCAAGGCCACGGAAAACGTTCCTTTAGCCCATGTTTAGTTGCTCCAAATTCAGAATATTGCACTATGCAAAAAAAAAAATTCCCATCACATCAAACTTGTGGTACATGCATGGAGTACTATATGTTGAGGAAATCAAAAACTAATTGCACAGTTTGGTTGTACTTTACGAGACGAATGTTTTGAGCCTAATTAGTCAACAATTGGACAATTATTACCAAATAAAAACAAAACTTTTGTACTAAAAACACAGGGATCGCATAATAAGATAACAATAATGTAAAATTAAATACGGCCGTTAAAGTGACATTTAGGCCGCGTTTAGTTGGTCACCAAGTTGGCGCCGACTGATTTCGCAAAGCACTGTAGGTACAGTAACTTGTTCGTTTTTATTTGGTAATAATTGTTCAAACATTGACTAATTAGGCTCAAAACGTTCGTCTCGTAAAGTACAACCAAACTGTGCAATTAGTTTTTTATTTCGTCAACATTTAGTACTCCATGCATATAACACAAGTTTGATGTGACGGGGAATCTTCTTTTTGCATAGTGTCAAAGTTGGTATTTTGGATGAACTAAACAGGGCCTTAATTGAAAAAACAAAGTTCGTGAAATTAATACGGTTATAGAGAGCACGGCGTCGCAGGCTCATCAACTCAACTGTATAGACCTTTCCGTGCGTTGCAACGGAAACATCGAAAAATTTCACGTCATGTATGTTCCTTGGTATTATTCAAGGACTCCGTCAAGCCAAAATTAAAATATTTAGAGTTCATATCTCTGTGTTGCTAGACGTTTTCATTTTGCGTTGTTTTATCGAGAAAACTTCGGGTCTGTTTGGGTGTCTTAAGAAAAATAAAAATATGGTGGAAAAATGAGAATGCGATCTAAACAGTTAGACTCTAGAATTAGATTGTAAAATCCAACTTCTACCACAAACCTCTACTATTTGACGATTTGCACTATGCTAAGGCAATAATCACTGTGAGAATAAGATCCAAACACTCATAATTTTATCTAGAATCCAGATTCACAATCTAGAGTCTAAAATATCACTACGAGGATGATAAGTCCTAGCTTAATATAAAACAAGGCACAAACTGTGTTTAGCACATTGTGATGGCCAAAAAAAAAAACAAAAAGCACGCTTGTATCTCAATCAATCCTAAATGAACTCGTGATAACGCCACGGCGATATTTAAACCACCAAAATATTATAATCACCACCAAGTTGAGTCCCCATTTGGAGGCAAAAAAATATTCAAGGGAGATGGCTGCAGTGACTAAATCGATGCTATATAATGACATCACACGAACCTACATTTAGGTGATAAACATGCTATTTGGCATATATGTGGTCGGACTCCGAACAATGTGCGTAATAACACAATATATTTAGGAACAATGGACACATGCCAAAAATCAGTATCACGGGTCAATCAAATGACAGGAACTGAATTCATGGCTAATCCCGCCTACAGGTAAGGACAGAGCATTGACACCTTTATAGAAGAAACCTAGTGTAGGGGCGCGCGCACATGCAGGCACAAATTTGAAAAACATGCAGGTTCAAATTTGAGGAATTAGAACTGTAACTTGGACATTGCAAAGCATTGGATAATGCGAAATAATATATGAGTCGACTGGAGCATAATTATACAGCTATTATACACGGAGTTATTCCTGCAGCACTTCCTCGTGTTTTTAAGTCTACAAATAAACAAGGACTTGGTTTGCTTGATGGCGGAGTACAGCACCTATACAAAGGCATCACAGGTTGTTCAGCACTTATATTATACGAAGTCAATAGCAGGCTAACTGGAGCCTTTTCGTGGGGCTTGTGGCTCCTATATAAAAACATTGTGGAGTGGTTGGCAGATCACTTGAACGTAGATATAGGAATCATCAGTAGTATTTCCAGCTGCGATCAGACTCCCAGCCATGTTCTTCGGTGTCCGAGTTGTTCAGCGAGGAATCGGTAGAAATATCTGCATAGATGTAAACATGTTTTATGGTTCTAGGCTTAATGATGCTGCGTCTGTGGGGATATAAGGAAGCAGGAAGAAGGAATTTATGTATGTTGCAAGAACTGTGTATGTACGAACTATTGGAGTGTATGCAGGTTGCAGAAGTTTTTTTTATTTTTTTTATATTGTTCAGTAGAGGAGGAAGGATATATAAAAGATGGGGTAGTGTGAATTGTAATCATCTTCTGGGTTTTTCTCTTTTTATTTTAAACAGTATGATGAGCATTGAGATGGATTGTATAGATGTCATACCTCGTCGATGGGAGGTTGCCTCGTCGTCCTGACATGTGGAGTGAAATAATTATGTTATTATGCACTATATAGATTATTGCATTTGTGTTGGGTTAATATTGATTAGCATTACCTGCGTAAGCGGAATATTCCTTGTACATCTCTTATTCGTCCGCGGTAGCAATATCTGAGGATCCTGTTAATTTTGGGAGGAAGACTGTTAGAAATGGAGTTGACTGTGTTTTTTAGTGGTGCTGTAGTTGCATGAGTGTTTACCTTGGCGCTGAGACATTCGATATTCAGGCGGGATCATTCTGCCAAGCATTTCTCCTGTAGAGGTTTCATACCATAGTGGTGAAATGTTGAGGAGGTCGTTTTCAGTTACTTTCTTGACACCTATATGTGCAATGCTAGGCACAAGCGGTTCTTGTCCCTAGGCGGAGATCATGTATGTGAGTGTTGCAGGTGTGAATGTTATGTCACAGATGGTGCAAATTCCGCTGAACAGACGGTGTATTGTTAGTTCACAGCATAGGTGTGGTGGTATCCCGGAGATTTCAATGCTGAGGCGTTCGTTGGGTGACAACACGCGTGGGCAGGTTGCTGTGTGGTGGTTGATGGGATCAGAGTTTAGTTGGCTGTGTAGAGGGACTGATGTGTAGCCATAATCTGGGGTCCATGGCATGAGTGTAAGTGTGTAGGTTGAAACAACAACAAAGCCTTTGCTAAGCATGCGGAAACTTGCATCCGTAGAGTGTACCCTTATAAAGTAGTGGGACCATACTTCGATATGTCTTCTACCTGGATTTCCACCTGGAAATGCTGGTGGACTGCATCTCTTAAGCTCTGGTGGCTGACTGCATCTGTAGCCCTGTAGGTGATAATGGGAGCTTTGCAATTACTGCATTGTCAAAGACATTGGGATCCCTGCTGTGGAGCTCTGATTCGTTGATTATTGTCAGGTTTGGATAACGGTAGCCTGACATTTTGCTGGGCTTGTAGACCTGTAAATGTCCTGTATTAAGTAAATTTATAGATAAATATAATTATGTTTACATATAGTTAGTAGTTAGTGTTGATAGTGATTTTATTTAAGGCAAGGACTGCAGTTTGTTAATTGATAAGAGGAAAAGAGGTGTAATTGAATGTCTGTAGCTTTTTTTTTGTTTTACTTTTTAGATTGGGAAATAAATATGCAAATGGTTGGTGGGTCAAGGAGACATCACGTGTAGCTGGGATGTGTGCGGTATTATATAAGGCTAATATCATGACAGTGAGTTGTTCGCTCTTAGTAAGGAAGCAAAATTTGAAGGTTCAGGCCATTATATATGTATGGTAATCCACTATTCTTTAGCTACTAAGTTTTAGTGACTGTGAGTTGCAGTTCATAAATGTGTTTGCAAGAATAGTTTATTATTTACTTTTTCAGACTAATTAGGTTAATATTGCGTTTGAACACAATTTACCTATCTGTGTGATATTATATGTTATTTGAATTGGGATAAGTGATCACTGACAGTGAAATGACTCGAGTCAGGTTGAAGCTCTGAAGAATGAAGATGTTTATATTTGTAAAGGATGTAAAGCCATGTATTAGCCTACATTCACCTAAACAATGAAAGTCAACAGAGAGATTGGAAAATACCTTTGTTTCCCGAATAAGCTAGCAGAATTGAAAGTAGGCGTGCGCCATCGCGCGCATAGGCAGGTTCCAAAAAGACCTCGAATCTGGAGAATATATAGATTATAAAAAATAAGAAGGTAGATATATAAATCTAAGATGTGCATATTACATATGTTGTTCAAGGTTTCAAAGAGCCGAGGATGGTGCATAGGTTTATATTACATGCACTGTCACTGAAGTAGAGAAACCGGAAAAGAAAACAGAATAATGGATGCAAAGATATCCCCAAATCAAGTCTCTGTTCACAGAATGAACTACTCGAGAAACAACTGGGAATAAAGCTTTGTATTGAGCTGTTGAACTAAGACGAAATGAGCATTAAATGATCCTCCAAAGGCAAGAAAATCGAATGTGAGTGTACTCACCAGAGGCATCAGTGTTTGATATTTGTTGGTCCATGTAAACATGCTCGAGAAGTTCATGCACTTTTGTGTAGTCGTTTTGTTTCAACCGGAGTTCCTTGTGGTACTTCTGAGAGAGTGCAAATTCCTGTCAGTATCAAAAAGGAATCTTAGCGACACAATGATACTGAGACACAGAAAGTCATTACAGATCCTTCAGATATCCCGCTGAACCATGAGACAGTCAAGGCTTGCACCAAAACAGTTTTTGTAACCATGTATCTCCTTCCGCAAAGAGAAAAGCAGCACATAGAATGAACACCTAAAGTATTCAGGCTCTACATTCATTGCGGGCGTGTTTGAAATCAAAGTAATACATGAAAAAGCAATGGCATGAGGATACTGCATTTGTGTGCAGCGTCCTTTTTCATATTCTCGCAGCACAGTTATCTTACTGTAATAAATATAACCTTCACCATGTACTAAAATGGCTTGGGATTGGGAAAATATACCAGCAAGATTAGAAAGAATAAGTACTCATGCACCACCGGCAACGAGATGCAGCCCCAGCGCACCGCTGCGGTCAAGATGTAATACTTAAGGTAAGCTATGTAAACTTTTTCATGCACATTGCTGTGCCCAGCATGCATGGATATTTTGCATTGATGAATTAACAAATATTAGACCTATCTAACCTTGCAGAGTTAAATGTTCTACTATTGTGCATATGGAAAAACGATCAAGTTTCAATCCAAAATGACAATTATTAAAAAAAGGAACTTGCTAAATCTCTTTTAGCCTTTCCTAGCTGTACAACTATTTCATTGAAGGTGAAATATGCACCACACAACTTTATCTGAAATAACACTCATAATCTAATTAAGGAAGGTTAACAACGGTAACTGTATTAGACCAAAGACAATGGGATTACTGCAGGTTGCTTTTGAGGAAGACAAGGTCTTGAGATGACCGAAGGTTACATGCAATGGGGAGGAAAGCAAGCAGAACGGAGTCACCGATGCTGCTTAATAAAACCCGGGTTATCTTGGTCCAGTAGTGGTTACAAACGAGGAACCTGGAAATCACCAGATCACATCTGAAAGAGAAAGAAGGTTGCATTAATATATTTCAACTTGAAGGATAGATTACTTCAAAGATTTGACAAATAAGACAAAGACCTTCGCTAGACAATAGAAGCATAACAGTAATAAAAAACTAAAGATAATCCCCAATTAAAATTATTTGCCAGCTGGTAGCATGAAAAGTTATCCCTTCCATGAACTCCACAATATTAGCAAGGCAAAACTGATATGGAAACCAAGTTGGTTGGTCGAAGTTGCAGTACAAAATTTGGGACAAAATAAACATCCTCCTTATAATTTCCAACATTTGAGTGGTTTGTTACTTGGCTAAATCGGATTGAACAAACATCGAGGATGCTTTTTATCTCTACACCTGCGACAAGAAAGGACAAAGGGGCAGCAAAACCAAACCTCAGAGAAATTCATCGTAGCGGGCTGACCCTCGTTCCAATAGTCATCTCCATCAACAAATTGCCTGTTGGGATACCTGGAGAGCAACAAGATGACAAGGAACATTAGAGACAAAATAAGCTCTGATTGCAGTCATCCATGCGAGGTAGGGAACTTCGCATCATTGGTGTTCCTCCATCTAGGACACGCAGATAACAACGAGGTAGGGCACGATGCTGCTATGGGAGAGGGGCGCATGGCAACGTCATCAAAATAAGGACCTCATATATCAGTTTTTTGTTGCCAAAATCGATGGGCAGTTGGCAATCTGAGATATCACAACTTCATAGCTAAAAATCAAAGCATTAACGAACACAGCTGTGAAAAAGAAGACAGTCTATTGTCCCATACATATATTACGTCCAACCATCCTACAATGAACAAACAGGTATGGAAGAGAGATAAAGGCATGGTATATTCAAATAAGGCTGGAAATGGAATTGTTCAAAAGAAGGGCTACCTGCATTTGTCGTAGTCACCATATTGGCACAATAAAAAAAAACAGGGAACCTAAGTTCCAGGATGCACCCCCTAAATTCCATTCTGTTACCTTTTTTTTAGATATAAACCTGAAATTGTTTCTATATTAAAAAAAAGAAACTCAGAGGCTGTCTAATAAGCTGCGCAAATCACAATTACCAGAGGCGATGAAGTTGGCTTTTATGAGCTGTAGAAGATAACCAGCAAGCGGCTTGAGGCCTTCACTGACAGCCATGGTGGTTTTCTCCTCCGACCCCAGGATTAGAAGATCAGATGACATCCTTGGAATCATTTATAAATAATATGTCAGTGATTACCATACGGGAAATATGGAACAGAAGCAATGATACACTAATAGGAAATAATAGATAGATATTGCACAGATAAATATTGCATGCATTTATATTGGTCTATCATCTGTGTAGCTGGGATTGTCCAGGCTTAAAACTGAGGACCTATGATGCACATAAAGCCATTAGGCACTATGTTCAACTGCAAAATAGATAGGGACTTGGAAAAATAGGAAGCCGCATTCATGTTCATATACCTTTATTCTGCCTTTTTTTGTCATCAATATTAGAGCACTGTTACTAATTTGAAGGTGAAATCCGCATCATTTGTAGAGTGCATAGAGAAGAGACAGCTTGCACATTTTTAGTGAATTGTTTGGTTGACTTAAGAAATTATGGATCAGAAAATCAAATAGATAAATTGATTGCAAATTTCTGAAGTGGTTGTAGCTTCCTGCAATACAACCCAAAGGAATTGAGCTGACGAAAAAAATCAAACCAACAAAGAAAAAAATGAGGTTTCATTTTCAGGTTACACCAACTCAATTTGGTACTCCCAGTCGTAAATATTTGTTCATATTTGTCCTTTGAGAAATTGAAACAGCCTGTGATGCAAACAAAATGTGATAGCTAAATTATTCTAGACTCCTTTGTAGGAGGAGCATCTGTGATGCTGAATATAGTACTGCAGCCATCTCGAAGCATTTACTGTTTCTTTTTTTTAGGATATATTAGTGTGTAAGAAAAATTACTCATGTAGCCCTACGTAAGTACGTAGTAGAGCTGGGCCACAATAATTAAGAAATAGGACACCCAATAAAAGAAATTCATGGAGGTATGCAGGATGTAGTCTCACTGGGATGTGGGCACAGGAAACTTTTTCCAGCTCTCTCCCTGGCTTTTGGTTTGTAGAATCTGGTATGCAATTTATGTTGATGCAGCATCTTATAATGGGACAAATTAGCACTTGAGTGCGAATTGAATGTTGGATGGCAATGTAATCAAAGTTTCATGGTACCTGTAGTTTCTTGGCCTTCCTGAAATGTGTGACACAATGTTAGAAGTCGTAACTCCTGCATAGTATTAGATAGATTTGTCAGAGTACCACTTCTGTTTTCTTTCTTATCATTGGATTGGTAAGTGTTTAGTCAGCATTCGGATTACTTAATGCAGTGTTTTGGATGGTTTAATCAGAGAGCATATTTTCGCATTAGATAGCATTTTGACTTTATTCAGTGATGTGAACTGCACTCTGTACTATGAAGCCACATCACAATATATTCTTCTATCCTTTGTAAATTTAACACATACATTGAACCATGGCAACATATAAACAGAGAAAGCCATATCGGTCCATATAGGAGCAGTAACAAGCAGTAATACATTACCAACTAAACAGTGTATTATTACCTTTTGGCAGCATGGTGAAAAATAGACCATCCTTGGTCTGTACACACCTTTCCTGCTGCAGCCATATGGTAAATAAAGGCGGTAATAATTCTGGCAAAGTAGTAAGGATTTAGGAATTCCACCTGCAGACGTGTATACCTTGGTCCAGCTGCTTGGTCCACTGAATTTCCAACTCGGTCAACCCAGTCGCAGAAGCACTCACATTACAAACAAGCTCACCAAAGCATGCTGATGACTGTGCTAACCTATTACAAAGCACCCACACACCTGCAATTAGTTAGTCAATGCAAAAGAATTGATAATTTTTACCATACTGGTTGACAACGTAGGAATTCGGAAGAGGAGACTGAGCAGGACAAGCGACCTCAAGATGAAGAGCAGACTCCAGACCACGCTAGGGCCTCCACGTCAGGGGCCAACCTCGCTAGATCCGCCGGTGCTGCCGCGAACCGCGGCCCTCCGTGCCAGGGCCGCCCTCGCGGGGGTCGCGGAAGCATGCCAGGGCCTCCACGTCGGGGGGCCACCCTCGCTGGATCCGCCGGTGCTGCCGCGGACCGTGGCCCTCCGTGCTAGGGCCGCCCTCGCCGGGGCCGTCGGAGCTGCCGCGCCGGGGCCATCCTGCGCCGCTGAGAGAGAGGGGGAGGGAGCAGGAGAGGCACACCAGGGACGGGGGAGGAGGGGGGCCGCAACCGCGCCCCGCTCGCGCCAACGAGCGTCGCCCTGGCCGTACCGGGAGGAAGATGGAGAGAGAGCGTGGAGGGGAGAGAAGATGGAGAGCGAGGACGTCGAGGAGCGACGCACGGAGCCACCGAGAAGGCTAGACGGGGTTCCCCAGCTCTATGTGGCCGCCGGCGGCGCGCCCAGATGCGGGCGGGCGCGGGCGACGATGGTGCGCATGCGGCAGCGGCGCAGCCTGCTACGAGCGGGCACGGGCGGCGGCGGCGCGGCCTGTTGCGGGCAGGCACGGGGGCAGGGTCGGCGTGATGGAGGCGCGACGGCGGCGCGGCCAGAATCACGGGAGCGAGCGGGATCTCGCGAAGGGGAGCACACGCGCGGGGGAGGGGGAGCGAGCGAGCGTGCGAAGAGCATCGGGCTCGCGTGCAGTCGGTCCCACATGCCGGCGCGAGTCGCGGAGTCCAGAACGAAAAAAAAGTCACACAAAAAAATATCTTATTTTCATTCTTTTTTAGTTGTACGCACATCAAGTTTCTTCACTCCGCTTTCCATCTAACTTCTATCGTCTTTGCTAAAGATGGCAACGGCCAGATGTCCGATACCCGACATGTATTTGATCCATTAGGAAATGGGGATGGGATCATATCTTTATCTACGGGCATCTAAATAGGTAAGAATCCATCCCGACGGATATAGCGGGTACGAGAACGTTCCCTGTTTACCCGTCTCCATTACCCGTTGAGGAACCCGACTATTTGAGCTGTCATGCGAGTATTGGGCCCAAAGAAGCTCAACATAAATATTTTGGTCTAAATCTGAACAATCATATATATAGTTTATGTGTTCTAGGAACCCTAGTTTAATTTTCCTCACCATCTCCGCCAGCAGCACAAGCACACCTGCCTCACGAGCGCTCGTGCCCCTCGCTTCCTCAGTTCGGTCTCTCTGCCACCTTTGCTCGTCCTCCTCGCAACCTCGCTCCTTCTCCTCGGCATCTCTGAGACTCCGACACTTATACCCGGGTGAAGAAGAAACGTCTCCGATTGCAAAGCTAAGACCCCAAGTGTCCCTGTTTATCGGGTATGCAGTACCCGTCGGGTATCTGTTACCCGACCGATACCCGACGGGTATAGGGATGGGTAAGAATCTATACCCGAAACAGTTAATGGGGACGGAGACGGAATGAATTCTCCGTAGCGGGGAAGAGAACGTTCCGACGATAGCCGATGGGTACATTCCCATTGCCATCCATAGGCTTTGCCTGACTTTCCACCTTCCAGTGCTTGATTTTGACGACGAACATGGACATTGGTTCGGCATGCAGCGAGTCTTTTGTTCCCTCTTTCTGAAAGCAACTTTCTCAATTGACAATAAAATGGCGACGACACGACGAAACGCTTTCCATCCACGCACCGGACACCGGGTTGTTCCGTGTCCACCTCGTAGCTGCCACTGCCAGTCGATATCATCAAAATGTCATTCCAAGAAATGTACCAAGTAATTGCCTTCACTTTCACGAGAAAATGCGACTCCTTCTCATTGTCTTCTAAGACATTGATGCCATATTGCCATCAACAAATTAAAGCTTTGTTTCGCACAGCTCTTGATGGCTCTGTCTCCATTTTATAAATCAACTCTTTCTTGCTAAAATAATCTGGAAGCCTGGAAAGCAATTTTTTTGTAACTTCAGAAGCTCCTATGACTCTATGAGTCAGTAAAACTGTAGCAGGAGACGTACCAAACAGGTGAATTTATCAATCAATAATAGAACCAAAAATGAAAAAGAAAGGGGGCACTGGAACTAATCGTTGTGCTAGAAATAATTAACGTACCTGGTCTACTACTCCCTCTGAACGATTCAAAAAAAGGCAAACGCAAAAGAAGTTGAGGTGATTAAAAATGTGCCTCGCCTAATTAATCCTCAGTAATCCACCAGACGAATTTATTAAGCCTAATTAATCCGCTATTAGCACATGTTTACTATAGCACAACATTGTCAAATTATGGACTAATTAAGTTTAATAAATTTGTCTCATAAATTAGTCTCAATCTATACAATTAATTATTTTTAGTCTATATTTAATATTCTGTGCGCGTGGCTGGACGTACGAAACTTTAGCAGGTGAAAATAAAAGTCCGCGTGAATTTGAACTGTGTGCCGACCGCACCACGTCACGGGGACGCCTTGATACCAGCACACATCACAAACGACAAGGCCCGCACCGCGTCCACGTCCACCGCACATCACCATTGCTGCAAATGTCCTTTCCAGCGTCTCAGTAGTCACAGAAAAACAGCAGAATGATTGCTACTGCCAACCAATAGCGGGCCCACTCGGTTTCAATCTGCTTGAGGAAAACTTTGGCGTCCGACGAGGCGACGACTCCGAAGGTGACCCCGAAACCGAAGCCGGATTCTGGTCGAGCCTGGCCCCCCGGTAGGGACACCGAGGACAAGGAGGCGAGGCTTGACATGCACACCGTCAAGCAGTACTCCGATCCGTAGCAGCCTGGGCCATGCGATGTTCTCACTCCTGTCACCATCGGCACGTCAGCTTATCACTTTCATCTCGTCTCAGAGTGGTCGAGAGACTCCAATGCCCGTGCAATGCAGAGCAAAATGCTTGCCCTATTGCCATCTGAAGGATCCGATTCCCTTCAGGTTGATAGGGCCGTTGCACAAATTAAACTAAGAAGGTAATTAGAGCCAGTTTTTCCAGCTGGGAGGAACTGGAAGGCGTGCATCTCTACCTTTTGATGTGTGATGCCTCACATGTGAACGTGGAGCACCGTTTCTGTTCAGGCCTTTGATTCAGAAGGTAACACTTTTTATGTTTTCGTCCATTTGTTCTAAGAAATCGTACGGCCAAACTAGGAAACTCATATGCGGGTCTGGGCAAAGCCGGATGAGCCAGATGACGGGTAGTTCCTCAGCACGCCGCATGGGACGGCTGGGAGCCATCGGAGCGGAGCACACGGTTGTATGGGTCGAAGTCGACGCCACGGTCATTGGCAAAGACAAACACAGTGCCGTCAGGGAGGAGGTGGAGGAACGGCCGAAAGGGTACAGGTTGTTCTCGGCGTCGGGCTCCGTCGTCTCGTCTATAAACGGAAAGAACGTCAGCGCCGGCGCCGGCGCCACGTCATCGGCGTGCGGGAAGTACTCGAGGTTGGACTGCCGCCGCCCGCCGAGGATGAGCACGCGGCCGTCGTGGAGGATCATGTCGTGGCGTACCACCGCCGCCCGGCAAGGAACGACGGGTTGGTGGGCAGCGGGTACGGGGTGCAGCACGTTGGAGCGGAGGTCCAGGAGCACCGAGTGAGCCGTGCGGTCGGCGCCGTTGGCGGTGGCCGCGCACGGCGCCAGCGCGGCCAGCGAGATGTTGGAGGGCCCCGTGTCGGTGCGGTCGAACATCAGGACGAAGTCCTCCGGCGGCAGCTGCATGTGCATCACCGAGACGCCGATGCTCGCATGGAGGAGCTGCCATTCTCCCTGGAACGACGAGGACGGTGTGGTGGGCTCCTGCGACGGGGCATCATCGGCGCCGGCGGCATTGGCAATGCAGCTGGCGATTAGGAGGAGGTGGAGAATGCGGCATTGGCAATGCGCGCCGCCCGTGGGGTGCCGTAGCCATGGGGCGTGAATCAATTCCTTCCATTTTCCTGGTGGCGTTCAATGGCTCAGTTTACCTCTATTGCACGGTGGCATACGATGAGGTGTGATCGTTTTCAGGGAAAGGGTGGGGAAGCGCCGTGCGGGATCGCACGCTTCGGCCCGTCGGGTACTTGCGGGATCGTGCAGGACGATGGACGCACGTTAAAATGTCACGTCAAAAAATATTCACCTTTTGTTTTTTAGTTGCAGGAGATAGTTGAACTTCAATCTGTCCTACTACAAGTATCAGTAGTCAAAAGTCAAATCACGACCACGCACGCAAAATGCATCTCTGGACTTTCAGTCTCAGGCCATTCAATCGGGTGCCTGGTCCGAGCGGCCGCATGCGCACCCACTCGGCGCTGCTGCTGGGCACGCCGGCGTGCACCACGAACCACATGTAGTATCCGGGCGGCGCCACCCCGGGCGTCGGCGGCGCGGCGACCACGGCCTCGTAAACCCCGACGTCCAGCTCCGCCACCCTCCCCACGCCCAGCTCCACCACGCGCTGGTTCATCCCGAACGAGTGCGTCGCGAACGCCGGAGCCACCGCGGCCACCCACACCACCTCCCCGCCCGCACCCGCACCGGCGGGTATCACGAACTTCACGGCCGTCGCTTCGCCGTACCCGACCTCCGCGGGAGCCGGCAGCACCCGCGGACGCGCGCTGTCGTGCCGCGGGTCCATGTACGGCGGCAAGAACGCCTCTAGGCTCAGCTCCGTCGGGTACGTCACGTTGGCGAACACGTACCCGACGTGCGGTTTGCTGCCGCCCACCAGCACGCGGCCGTACGTGTCCGGCGCCGCCGACGAGTGGTACATCCGCGGCACCGCCGACCCCGCCAGCGGCGACGACTAATCGAACCGCGACCCCAGCGGCGCGTCGGGCCTGTACAACACGGGCCGTGTGACCGGCTCCCGCCCCAGCTCCCACCTGGCGGTGCCCGCCGCGGCCCCATTCACGATCAGCACGTCGCCCGTGGGCAGCAGCACCATGTCGCCCATCACCCGGGCCATCGGCATCTCCTCGATCGCCCACACCACCGGGTCCGGGTCCGTCGGCGCGACGTGCGCGCAGGTCCGGTCGGCGGTCACGAACGTGCCGTTCCGCAGCGCCAGGTGGTACGCTTCCCGCGGCGCACTGCGCAGACCAGCACCTCGGCGTGCGCGGGCGCGTCGGGGCGGAGCGGGAGGAGCACGGACGAGCCCGACGACGGGTAGTTCCGCGGCACGCCGCCGGGAACGGGCGGGAGGCGGCGGAGCGGGGCGCGGTTGTAGGGGTCGAAGACGATGGCGCGGTCGTTGGCGAAGACGAAGACGGTGCCGTCGGGGAGCAGGTGGAGGAACGGGTACAGGTTATTCTCGGCGTCCGGCACCGTTGTCTCGTCCAGGAACGGGAAGACCGTCAGTGGCGGCGCGGCGTCGGCGTGCGGGAAGTACTCGAGGTTGAACTGCCGCCGCCCGCCGAGGATGAGACCGCGGCCGTCGGGGAGGATCATGTCGGTGGCGTACCACCGCCGCGCGCGAGGAACGAGGGGAGCTCGACCCAGCCCGTGGCCGGCGAGAAGAGCCGCGCGACGAGGTCGCCGCTGGAGAAGCCGTCGGTCTGGTGGAGCGTGCCGTTGGGGAGCAGCGCCCCGGACGAGCACCACGGGTTGGTGGCGAGCGGGTACGGGTGCAGCACGTTGGAGCGGACGTCCAGGAGCACCGAGTGCGCCGTGCAGTCGGCGCCGTCGACGGTGTCCGCGCACGGCGCCAGCGCGGGCAGCGAGATGTTGGAGGGGCCTGTGTCGGTGCGGTCGAACATGAGGACGAAGTCCTCCGGGAGCAGCTGCATGTGCATCGCCGACACGCCGATGCCCGCGTGGAGGAGCTGCCATTCTCCCTGGGACGGGGCATCATCGGCTGTGGCGGCATTGGCAATGCAACTGGCGATCAGGAGAAGGTGGAGAAGCAAGGATTGGCTTGGGCATGGCTGCTGAGCATGCACGCATGTGATCTTTAAGCCTTTTCATGCATCCTTGCAATGTGATAAGCTAAGGTAGAGTGTACAGAGTGTGTTGCATACTTGCATCGCATTGTGACGTTGTGTTGGTGGAGGGTTGGTACAGGGAAGGTTGTGGGGAAATTGGGAATACGCATTTCATGCTTGGAACCGGGTATGCAATTTAAATGATACAAACTTTTTGGACTCAGCGGAATTAGGTGAATCTTGCAATTTTTGCCCGTGAAAATATTCAGGTTTAGCTAATAATTAGCTGAATTTTGGCCGAAATTTGATCAAGAGGCCGGCATAAAGAGGAAACTAATGATTAGGAGAAGGATGCACTTTTACACTGAAGGAAGAACTTGCGAGTTTGTTTGAACTCTAGACTAGACTAAAAGTTCAAATCTTGTCCAACTTTTGACTGGTGCAATGTTGTTTTAGCCCTCACCGAAATAGGTGAATTTTGCAGAAATTCAGATGTTTCGGACCAAATCCCGGAAACCTCCTGAGGTAGAATCACCCAATTTACAAGAGCTCAATTATGATGGCCGGCATCTCGAGGATTAATAGCCGCTCGCACTTGAACTCTATAATCCGGTAGTCTGTTGAGGGTCGAAGGACCAGGATGACACCATCTATCGCGATGCAGGGATAACGTACAACACATTGATACATAGGGTTACAATAGAAGTGGTTTACAAATTAGAGTGCGGAAGTATAATTTATTACACTAACTTGATTCAAATATAAGTAGTTCAAACCTACCTTGAAACACTCAAAATCAAGTGAGCCGGTAAAAGGATGTTCATTACGTATAAGATCAACATGAGAACCGAGGGATGTTAGAGCATATCTTCACCGGATTAAGAATAAAATGAACCCCTTTTTCTGTAACTAGTGATAATAAAGATTGAAGGCAAAAAGTAAACTCCAATAGATCCCTTTCTAATCTCCTTACACTATTGTTTTATTAATTGAGAAAACCACCCCCTCAATCCCTCAAAAGAAAGGGGAGATCAAATCAGTCCCCCTTCCCTTACCCTCCCCGCATGTAGTGGTGTGTAGTGGCTAGAGACATGGCGGAGAAGAGAGGGCCTTTGTTATTACCCCCAAAAAAAGAGATGCTAAATTTTGCTACAATCGTGACATAGGATTTCTTGGCTGCAATTTTTGTGAATGCGGTAGTTTATTTAATTTTCATTTTCTTTGAACTTTGTGGCAAAGCTAAGCATCAACCAAATAGGCCATCGGTTTGTTTTGTGGCCAAAGGTTTAGCGTGCCATGCATGCTTTTATGCACGGGCGTGCCTAGTGCCCAGACGTTCGGATGCCCGCGCCCGCGCCCGCGCCGCCTGCTGCGTCCGTCCTGCCTGCCACGCTTGCTGCTAAGCCTGCCCTACATGCAATTGCTGCGCCTGCACGTCCACCCCGCATGCCACATGCAACTGCTAAGCCTGCACACCTGCCTCGCAAGTTGGTGCGTCTTCACATGCAGTTGTGCGCCTGATGCGCATGCGGTGGGGACCACCACCGCACGCTTGCACGCATGCGTGGGGACCACTATGCCCAGCATGGATCGCCTCCTCGCATGCGCCCGCTTCTGCGCTTTGCTAGTGTTGCAACATGAAGCACTTCAGTAACATACGTCTGAAATAGGTGAAACATTTGCAACATACTCTTGAAACATATGTGTATAGCAAGCGCAACATATGCAAACATCTAGATAAAAACACTTGCAACATATGTCTGAAACAGATGGAATATTTTGAATAGACGCTTGCAACATGTGTATATAGCCATTGAAACATATGCAACATCCAAATAAAACACTTGCACCATATGTCTAAAATAGATGAAATATTTGAAATATACACTTGCAACATACTTGTATAACCATTGCAACACATGCAACGTCCAGATGAAACACATACAACATCCGGATGAAAAACATGCAACATCCAAATGAAATATATGAAATATACATCTAAACACATGAAACATACGGAGCTGGTGCCATAGAGTATGCAGGCCCCGCGCTCCTTCTCTCTGCCGGTCCTTGTCTCTCTGGTCACAGCGCATGCACATGCCCTCACGCATTGCATGCACCCCACGCCGAGCGAGGCCAAATGCGCTCCCATGCGCTGCCCTACGCCCCACGCAGTACAAGTGGCCGCTCGAGCTCCCATGCGCTGCCCTACGCCGCATGCACCCCACATCGAACGAGAAGCCACCCATGCTCCCATGCGCTGCCCCATAGAAAAGGACCGGTGCAGGGCCCGCCTGACTGCAACTACACGCCCCGCTTTTTTTTCTTGGTCGTCACGTGCATGCGGGGGTTGGTCCGTCTGGACGGACGGGCGCCCTCAACTAAGCATTACTGTTTACGCATCCTCTGTGTGATATGAATTTTGATCATGGGCCACCTAACTCGACCTTCCAAACTTTTTTGACCTGACTTAACTGGCTGGTATGTCGGGTCAGATTCGAGTTATGATTTTAAACCCATGACCCGATCCAACCTGAGAAAGCTGACCCAAAGTAGTAAAACCTGATCTAATCCCATCTGCCAGTGCGTTGACGGACCAAAAATTTTGACATGACAATTTTTTATTGGCCCAAGTCGAGTCCGACCCGATCCCAGTGTTTAGCATCATCTAGCAGTTCCTTTTACTCCATTTCTTTCAAGACAACTTAAGACTCTTCCAATTCTTTGGGACACTTCTACCGGATCAACAACAAAGACGGGTCGGTCCTTACCAAGATCAAACAATAGACCTTATCTATAGAGATTCAAGTTCTATATATTTTCGGTCATTGTGTGTGACCCGAAACTTGATAAAAATGAATTACAATGCTGCCACGTTCAACTAATCTAGTCTAGGGGAAGAAACAAACTAAACTACTTGACCTATAAAATACCAAAACGGCTGCCACTTGCATCCTTACTTTATGTCACCCCCAGTTGGCCCACTATGAAAATGGATCGAGAATGTTATCAGCCCACCCACTCACCAGCCTTCTCCATGCTTTACTTGTCTCTGGAGACTACCAGATCATCCATTCCACACGGCTCGAGCCTCGCACAGATCTCACCTAGCCTTCCTCCCGATCCTCCGGCGGCCTTGGCGCCACCTCGCCAGACAGCTCCGCCACCACCTCGGCCTCTGCCCGCCCCCATCCTGGTGGAGTCCTCTCAGTCACAGTACCGCATCTTGGCTCTCCTACATCGTGTCACACCGGCCGACTCTCAAGTCTCCGACCGCCTGCATGAGCGCCCTTCCTCCACGCTGCTCACGCGTCGTCTGTGCGGCGCTCCCCGATCGCGCTCGGTTGGGCGGAGTCGCCGATCAGCATCTCCTCCGCTCATACCGACCTCCGCGCCATGCGCTTTCGTGCCCAAATGAGGTAATGAGTTAATTTCTCGTGAGTGTGTAACATCAAGATATTGGTAGAAAGTTCAGTAGACCGTGGAATGAGTATGAACGTGTTTGAGACTTCATGTTATATGTCATCAACACAATAACACCTAACACGATTCATGTTCCTTGTTACATATAGTTCACGAATCAAAATATTTCATTATTAGGGTATAATTGTTTGGTGAGGAGAAGGCGTTGAAATAAATGCTGTAGTAGATTCTTTTTTTTTGCTGTGTAGTTGTTGTTTGGTCATGTATTCATTCCACCACTATGTGCTTATAATTATTTAACAATGGTTATATTATTGTGCATAAATTGAATGCTGCCTGTGTTCTGTACACGTATGTCTTACTTACTTATGCTAATAATAGAACTACTATTGAGGTAATTCATTCTAGAGAATTTTCATGATCTAGTTTATCGGTGGCAAGCATAAAGTGCCCTATGTAATGGTTTTTGGGTGCGGTGTGAACTTACAATGCTTTGCTGATGCATTTAATGCACAGAATATGATGTTTGATCAAAATACTTGTCTATTTCTAAAATATTATTATATGAAATGGATGGCACTGGGATATATAGCATCTGATGCAATGTACCATATCCTCACATAATCCAGAGGTTTTCAGACATCACCATGGTGGCTCTTCTAATCATATATTACCCACATTTGGTTCTCTGTTTGTTAAATAATGTTATATGGGAAAGAGATATTACTAAATCATCTTGCATAAGTAACAGTCACTTCTCTATTTTTTTTAATTTCAGGATCAGATGATCTTTTCTGTTCTTGCTTTCTATATTAATCTTATTTGGTATAGACCGTGTACAACAACACTACCACAAAAATGATTTCAGGAGACGATTGGGTTTTTATTTACAGAGGCAGATTTTTTCTTCCATTGCCTCTAAAAATCTCTCCTGCCTCTATAAATAGATTTTCAGAGGCGTTAAAAAGACCATAACTGAAAATAAGGTCATTTCCAGAGATGGCCTTCTTATGAGGCCGTCTTTGAAAATCCAATTACAGAGGCAGTGTGTCACGCGGATTACAGAGGCGATTTCTTCCAGATTTGAGTCGTGCATTGCCGGTGATGAGAAGCTTATGGCATGACCCTCGCTAACTATTTTGCGCTTCGGGCAATCTTTTGCCCGAGTTATCGGCGGCCATGATTAATGTGCCAAAATGATAAACTAAGGCCAAATGTATCTCTCCACATTTTTATTAATCAGAACAATCTTCTGCCCTGAACGCCTCAGAATTAATTTGGGTCTGCTGTTGCAGCTTCCGTCGATCTAGGCCTGGATCCACCTCAGATTGTTTAAAGCTAGGGCGGCACGTATTCTTTTGTGATTGCCAAATAAATCAGTAAGTCTAAAGTTTACTTGACTAACCAGAACAACAGATAGCATCCATACATATTGTGTCTGTTAGAGATTGCTTCACATATTGTCCAACAGGTGACCTTCACAGACAAGCATACACATATTCTCTGATCCTCATGCATTCATGTTTCTTCTCAGTAGATTGATGATTTCTTCAATATTTATCCATGATACGTGCTGCATTCCAGTTCTAGTTTGTGTACATGGAGGATTTTATTTGTTCTTGTTAACCGGTATGCTGCTGCTGCTGCTGCTGCTGTTACCTTGTGGTTCTCCTGTAGTTGGATGACTGGGTGCACTGTGGGGAATACAACAAGAAGAACGATTGGGAGAAGCTGCAGTAGCAGAAGGAAAGGGTGCACTGGGCTCAAGAAGGTTCTCGTTGAGGATGGCCTGTGGCGCCCGGTGATGCAAAGCGGAACTGTTCTTTTATTGATTTGCAGAGGCGTGCATCGTAAGACACCTGCTTCTATAAACATGAATTTCAGAGATGGACATGTTTTCCATTTACACTGGTGCTCCCACAGAGGTGGTTGAGCAGGCCGCCTGTGTAATGTTGTTTTGCCCAACTCTATAAAGGGACTTCTAGTTGTGTATTGAATCTAGATAAAATAGGCCAAACAAGATTTAGGTGCAAAAACATCAAGCTATGCCAATATTTTTGGTTTGCGAATTACATGGTTGCTGATCTAAATACAGGTTTTGACCCATAATGTAGATGTAGGCTTCATCTGCTGATCTAAACATGCTGTTTTTGGCCCTCTGTTCTTCTATGCCATTGTAGAGTTGGTTATCACCAAATTTTGACAGGTCCTGTGTGTTGGTGTATTTTTTTTTCTAGACTGCAGCAGATATAGAAGCTAAAAGGTTAGATTGGTATGGGGATGAATTTTCTGTAGTATGATCCTACCTAAGCGTCGATTTTAATTTGGTGTAATATAAGCATTCTGCTTGGTTGGCACTGACTGTGCATGAATCCATGATCTGATTTATATTGCTCCTTGATAATTTGAACATTAGGATATAGATGTGCTGATGTTTTTGACCAGCACATGATATGCAGTACATGTGAACATGGTATGTCAATGTGTTTGCTCTACCATGATGGTAGTGAGGAGTTCATTTCAGCCAAATATGTTTATTAAGTCAAATAGACCATGCAATGAATATAGACATGCCATTGTATGTCTGTGTGTTTGGTCTACCATAACATGGTATGTCTATGGTTTAGATAGTCTTCAGCTCGGTATTGTACATTTACTTGCCATTATGTAACCTTTAGCATATAATTCAGTGACCAGTGCGTCCTATGTGCTGGTTGTGGTTTGATGTGTACAAGCGTTGGAATCAATAATGTGATTAATTGATTTTTGCTATACTGTCACTGTGGAACGCCCGTACATGTAGGTTTTCTATGAATATTTTCAGCATGTGCTTCAGATATTCAGTCATGGACATAGCTAATGATGAGGAGCACAGATCCCCCAGCCTGCCGAACAATTATATGTGATCATAATCTTCTTCTCTGGGTGTTCCAGTTTCATAGTGCATCAGTGTATGACAGTTGTAGGCGTTTTATAGTACATCAATGTTGGTATTATCAGTGTATGACAGTTGTAGGTGTTAGATTGTAAGAATTCATTTCATAGGAGTCAACTCATGTTTTTTTTTGTTTTCTGTAATGGAGCACATTGAAATGTACCACAATACCAGGCCTGAATATTTGTAACGTTGTGGCAAGCACCGAGTATACATTGTTATCTGAAAATAACTCTCAAGAAGTTCCATGTTCTACTAACATGGTCTCGTGCAAGCTACAATTCACGAAGAAAAAAAAATATTGGCAATATGATTGATTCAAGAGTAAATTTGCGCAAAGGATAGGTCTTTACATTGTTGGTTTTCCATGACCTGCCTTGAGACAGATAGAAGCAGCCCACACCATTTCCAGTATTAACAAACCAGAAACTGAAGTGAGGCTTGCTATGTACATCCACTTGGCAAGCTGCATTTCCAGACACACCATAAACCATCCAAGCTGAAAGAAGCTGTATCATAACGTTTGTTCTGTAACGACTCAAACTTATATATACACATGCCTCTCAATTCTCGAGTGGCAAACTGCATGGAAATTCAACTGTAACGTGTACACAAATCACTGAAGAAAAATGAACAAATTCACATAACATTCTTGTCTCATTTTATTTGCATGTCAAATATCTGACTGCCTCAGAACAACCCGCAGGCTAAAAAAACGAATAAATTCACATCACAAATTCTGCATTGTTGCTTCTTCAGTCAAAGCGATGACGGTTCCAAGCTTCCTTCTGTCCATGTAGGTCACAGACGGGCACTCTACTTGCATGCAAGGGTCATATGCATTATATAATCTGCAGTGTTATACGCCCCTTACGAACAACTAGTAACAAGAACTGTATGTTGCATACTTGATTACTCCCTCAGTTGTTCCACATTGACACATTCTTTTTCGATTTTGTCCCTTGAAATTTTCTCCACTTCATCCAACAACACTTTCATCCCCTGAAACGTCACATGCAGTCAAGTGACGAGATATTCCAACAGCAAAAAAGGTACATACTCAGTATGCAACGTATAAAGCAGCTGTTGTGTTAATTTACCTGAAGCGTCAGCAGAGACGTTGATGTTTGTCTTGAAGCTGAATGGATCGCCTGTGTACTTCACGTACCACTTCCTTTCAATGTTGTTGTCATCATCATCTGCATATGCATTGACCTGCTTGATATGGCTGAACTTGTCCCACTCAGGGCCAGATTCCCCTTCAGCTATGGAAGCGAGCAGGGAGATGTCACAGTTTAAACGCAAATCCCTTACGTCCTGCAAGTATCCAGGGAGTGTTTTCATGTCGTAGTCCTCCAGTGTGAGTCTATGAAGTGCAGGCAAACCCTCCAATACCTTCAACTCTGGGCATCTTATGATCATGAGGTCCTGCAAATTTGGCAGATTGCTGATCCTCTCCAGGCTAGGACATCCGGCCACCTGAATTTCCAAATCAGAACCAAAGTTTTCCAAAGCGCTTGGGTGCTCATGATGGTGTGGTAGTAAGAACTCTGGCCCAACATGCTTGATGGCTGGGGCACTTATAATTTGTTGCGTTGTTCGTTTTTCTCGATTTTCGTTCTTGGCTACAATCTGAATTTCTCAGAGTTTGGGTGGATCCCAGGCGATGATTTCTTGAGGATAGATTCGTAGCAAGTTGAATTCCGTCTTTGTAAATTTTTGGAACGAATGATGGAGATTTGGGTCGTTTTTCTTTTGATTTCCTGGTCGCTCTTTCTCCCTGTTCGTGCCTAGCAGAGGCACTGCTTTTCATGTTCGTCTTTTGCGTGTGGGGAGACGAGCAACTGAGCACCAGCACCGTGCTCACCAGGCCCGAGCCGGTGCTCGCCCAGAGAGGCCGAAGGCCTGCGCCAAGCAGCAGGAGCCGCGTGCTCCCAGAGCCCGAGCGGCGCTCGCCCAGGTGGCCATCCTCTCGTCGGTCTCCTCCCTGTCTCTACTTCCTTCGGTGCTTGCTCTCTGTCTGTCTCAGATTGGCAGCGCAGCATCTGGCCGGCGGCGAGCAGACCCACCGCTGGTTGTTCCTCTCTCCATCTCCGCTCGGTACGTGTGGTAGCTGTTTCCCTCCGTTCTTGTGGTTTTTCTCTCGGTTCTGTTCGGCTGTCGGTGTACACCGCCTCCTGATCGTGCGGTGCACCGCTCGGCAGTGTCTGGTGCCCTTCGGTGGTCTTGCAGGTTCGAATTTCCAGCCCTGTTTTTTTTTTTTTCATCCGTGGTTTGCGCTTCGGATTTAAGTTCCATCTTTTTGCGTTGGTTTTCCATCGATTCAACGAACTTATCTAAGTATTCTCGTCACCAGTTGGCATGGATATTTTAGATTTGGGAACTTCTTTTGGTTTGCTTATTTGGCGGTGATTTGGGGACAGCGGCCAAATATTTCGAGAGAAATTTTACGGCTCCCATTCATCCTCCTCTGGTCACCGTTTTCGGTCCTTTATATTGCTACTAATTTAAATATCTGAAAAATAAAAGGAGCCTCGTTAGGAAGCTGCATTCTCATGGCACTGGCAGCATATATATGAACATTTACTTGGCAACCTACGTACATTTTCAGGCTCACAATGAATCCGCAAGCCGGAATAAGCTGTATCATAACATTTGTTTTGTAACATGACGACTCACAACTTAATTATATGTACAAGGCTCTGTATTCTCAGGTGGTAACCTGCATCCACAGTAACACAGATTCGAATAAAAAAACTAATTCACATCACATCGCATTCTAGTCACCATGAATTTATTTGCAGTGTCCAACATCTGACTGCCTCACGACGACCCGCAGCGTAGTAATCGGCTCCATTGCTTCTTCTTCGGCCGAAGCGATGATAGCTCCAGCCTCCAAGGCTGCTTTTTGTCCATGCGGCACTCCACCTGCAGGCGAGGTCTTTTATGCATTCTATAATCGATAGTGCTAGAGACGTATGTAGTAATAATAATAGTCTTGGAGTAGCATGCATACTTTATTGTTACTCCCTCTGTTGTTCCACGATGAATTCCCTTCAAACTTGCTCCGCTTTGTCCAATAACACCTCCTCTGTTTCATCCCCTGATATTCCAATAGCAAGTGTTGTGTTAATTTACCTGAAAGAAAGGTGCTCAGTATTCCAATAGCAAGAAAGGTGCTCAGTATATGCAACATATAAAGCAGCAGTGTTGTGTTAATTTACCTGAAGCATCGGCAGAGGGGCTGATGTTTGTCTTGAAGCTGAAAGGATCTATTGTGTACTTCACGTACCACTTCCTTTCAATGTTGTTGTCATCATCATCTGCATATGCATTGACCTGCTTGATATGGCTGAACTTGTCCCACTCAAGACTAGATTTCCCTTTACCTATGGAAGCGAGCAGCGGGACGTCGCAGTCTACATGCAAATCCCTTGGGTTTACGTCCTTCAAGTATCCAGGGAGTGTTTTCATGTCGTAGTCCTCCAGTGTGAGTCTATGAAGTGCAGGCAAACCCTCTAGTACCTGCAACTCTAGGCACTCTATGATCACGAGGTTCTGCAAATTTGGCAGATTACTGATCCTCTCTAGTCCATGACATCTACTCACCTCAATTTTCAAATCAGAACCAAAGTTTTCCAAAGCGCTTGGGTGCTCATGATGGTGTGGTAGTAAGAACTCTGGCCCAACATGCTTGATGGCTGGGGCACTACTAATCTGTAGGAACTCCAAGCTGGGTAGCTGGAACAAGCTGTCAGGTAGCTCTATGCAATAAGGCAAGTCTTCCATGAATAGAATCCTCAAGCATCCAAGGGACACAATTGCTGTCGACGTCATCCACTTCGGAAGTCGTTGACTAAAGTACCCTTCGATTGCTAGTTTTTCTAAGCAAGGCGGAGGGCAGAGCTCATCAAACACCTTCTCGATGTGTTGCTGCTCTTCCTGTTTCACCATCTGGTGAGCACCTCCACTACTACTAGTGCACTGTAAGTACAGATAGCTGAGGCACACCTTTTCACCAAGCCTGGCTTTTATAGCAAATGAGGAAGAAGATACATTCTCCAGGCCATGTATACGAAGACTCGTGAGCCAGTTAAGAGGTCCTAATTCTTCCAAACTACACCAATCACCCTCCACGTGGGCAGGGAAACCCCTTCAATACCCTTAAATTAGTTAGGCCATTGAAACCCTTGGGTATATTATTTATACCTGAGTTAAGAAGGCTTAGATACCTCAGCTGCCGTAACTTTCCAATGCCACCAGGAAGCTTCACCATTCTTTTACAATTAGAAAGGTCAATGCACTGCAATAATTTCATCTTGGCTATTTTTTCTGGCAGCCTAGATGTGTCAGTGCCATCTAGACACAAATACCTCAAGTGTTTGAGTTGGACCAAGGATTTAGACAATGCATCAAAATTTCCATCTCCTATATGTAGGGTCCGCAAACATGGAAAACATGACAGTGAATCACCTGGGTTAATCTTAATTTTCCCAGCAAAAATTAGAGTTCGTGGTGATATATGTGCTTGCAGAGAACTCCACCCTAGCCCATTTGATTCTGATCCATTGGTTTTTAGTGATATCCGAATAATATTTTGTGGATTAATATTGTTGATAAGGCCAGCCTCACTTTTCTGAGTTACCAGTGCTTCATCTCTAGTCAAATACTGAGCAAATGAACGAACAATATCATGCATATTGCAAACTCCATGGTCCACATACCTTGGATCAGGCTCTAGAAGGTTCCTAGCTATTAACTGGTCATAGTACTCTTTTCCTAACACTTCCAAATCCTGGGAGTTTCCATGAACAAATCCTTCACTAATCCACATGGCAACAATACGGTCATACCCGAACACCGTGTTCTTTGGGAGGAGGGCGTAGTGCAGAAAGCAAGACTGCAACTCAGGGTTCAGATCTTGATAGCTCAGGTATACTGCATAGTTTAGCTCTTCAGGCATTTGAGATACTGGCCATGTAGAATCATTAAGGACCTTTGTCCAATCGCTTCGCCTTATGTTTTTCTGGCAGAGGAGGCCTCCTATTACTTTGACTGCGAGAGGCAAACCATCACATTCTGCTATAATCGACATTCCAATGTCCTTCAATGCATCAACCTTTGGTTCATCATTGTTTTCATTTCCAACCACCTGCAAAGCAACTTAAGCTTGTTAATTGAATGGAATATGTAGATATAAATACACTTGGTCATTTAATTGGAAGGAAAATCAAGTGCTAGTAAATGATACTGTGTGCAGAGGCAAAATTCACATGCGACTTTCTAAGCGTATGACCAATGTACCAGTCCACTAAAATAGATGGAAAAATCATCGTATATGTATACCACTACGGTGCAATTAGGTGACGTATGTGATTGTGTACAAGAATAGTGTTCTCATCAGTCACTATCATTACCAACTCTCGTCTACCTGATGTTTATAGTCACTCCAGTATTTATTGTATCTTTTATTTAATTTTTTCTTATTTTATTAAAAAAGGTTGTACAGTATGCCAGAATGCTTCTCACTGCCAAGTACTGATAGTGATAAGTGATAAAAAAGCACAAAATGTACGCCAGATTACTGCATCTTCACTGCCAGTAACCGACAATGACAGTATTTAAACTCAAGATCTCAACATTCTCCTGAGCATCTATACCAGCAGAGCTATGCAACACTTGTGACTATACAACTGATGCTATTCTTTTAACTACACAATTTTGAATCTTATATTGCATATTTGATACTCCAAATGATCTCAAATGAAAAGGTTGTTAACTGCAAAGTTGTAGATCGATCTCATCGACTACTCACTCAACTATTGACTTTGTCTCCATTCGACATCATTAACCATCTCAAATCCCATTGGTGAACATACATAGAATATTTTGATATGTAAACCATCTTAAATTAAAAAGTTGTTAACTACAAAGTTTTAAATCTTTTTGAACGTATAAAGCTTATCTTATCATACATCATATGAAAAAGTTATTACTTTTTCATAAAATAGACTATCACTTTGTTGGTTGTAGCCACAAACCGGCCACGACGGGTGGTCCTACACTGCATGTTGGTGGCTATAACCAGCCGTGATAGTACACCTCACTGTCACTATCACTTGTAGCCACGATTCGTTCGTGAAAGTTCGATTCGTTCGTGAAAGTTCATCTATCACCGTCGGTTGTACTATCACTACCGGTTCCAAAGCAACCAACAATGATGGTCCGACAATGATGGCCTGTGTTTGCGGTAGTGCTAGGTCCTATGCTACCCACTTGCCTATTAATAATGGTATGAACTATCATGTCAGCCTGCACTATGGCACTTAAGGCCATGTTTGGATGTTGTAGTATTAAGAGACGTAGTATTAAGAAACAACTATTTTAGAACTTATAGATGTGGTAAACCATGATTTAGCAACAAAGAGGTCTAGATATGAGTTTATAAAACTCTAAAGACACTACAAATTTAGCAAAACTCTGGTTTTCAAAACCATAAAATTTGTTGCATCAAAACACTTCATACAACTCTAATAAAATCAAAGTATTTCATAAAAGCATGGTATTTTCTAAAACTCCAAAAATACATCTCGCATCCAAACAGGGCCTAAGATTTTGAACTTGCTACATTCGAAAATTGTATATGTAGTAGAAGTATTATTTTTATAAAAATATAGAATAATCAAAATTAAATTACCAGTGTTGATATGACATAGTATTTGAGTCAAATTTTATAAAACTATTTGAAATAAAAACTTGTAAACTTTTTTGTCATGCCATAGTAATGTAATTTAAAATAAATTATCAGTGTCATTTATATGTGGTTTGTTAAGTAACAGTTTAGCACTTGATGATCTATTAACTAAAAATATCCTAATGTATGTATGTTTGATTGGTCGATATATTAACCCATCTTTATGCTAATAACCGAAATGTATAGCATGGATCATGGAAGATGCAAACTATACAGCCACGGTGTTGTCAGAAATTGGTCCTGCTATCAGCCAGGTTGAAGGTGAAAGAAGGAACCAGAGAAACCAGAGGATTTATTTTAACGAACATCTGTCCCTGCTGATGGTTCAGTAATTAACTAATCGGTCCCAATACAAACCTACATGAAGCTAGTCCTCGTTTGAAAACCAAAGATTGGGTATATGATCCTAGAAAATAAATTCGTCCCTTTGTGACATTTGGTTTATTTTTTTATTCCAATTTGACACTATATGTTCAATTTTGTTGCAACTTATCATGAGATTATTTATAAAGGACCAAACACCCTGGTAGAAAAACGAATGGACGGAAGTCAATTATTAGGATCCAACTGGAAAGGTTATTAAAGTCTGCACAACTTGACCTGAAGAAGCTACGTTTTTCTCCCTTATTCATACTCTCTTGGATGCAGGTAAGCCTAATGTGATATCCCTTGTATCCTTAGCTTTTTAACCAATCTAGAGATGAGACAAGTGAGGCAAGTTACATGGACAATTACTCAAGTGTCTGTGGTAAAACTTGTCAATCAGGATATATGCCAAAGGCCACGTGAGTACTTTTCCTAACTTTTTACGCCATGTTCAGAATAGAACTTTAAATCATTGATTTTATTTTAACATGTTTACAGGATCTAGTAAAATTATAATAGTCTGAAAAGGTTGTTAGAGAAAAGGATAACAAGAGAAAGCCTAACATTCCCATCATTAAACAGTAATGTCCAGTCCTGATTGGCTTTAATAGTACAGGCTATAAATTGCTAATTCTTTATCAGACCGTGGAGGATGGGACTTGGTGAAATAATGCTTGTATCAGTCCTGATTGGCTTTAATAAAGTTAGATGGTCTTGGAGATATTAAACCTAAGCACCAGACGCCCTTTGCAACGAAAGGATACAGTAGAGTAAAAGTTTAGAAATCTTAATCTCATGACCATCTAAAGAGTTGAGGCTCTCAAAAAAATCTATAGAGTTGTGACCACAAGTATTAGTAACAATGTAATAATGCTTGTACATGAGCTCTTACGAAACTTCACAAGCACCTACAGTCATTTGTGTAATGTAAGAATTTTTAAAAAAAAAATATTACTACATGTTACTAACTTTATTATTGTTTGTAGTTTACGCTTATTCCTTTTAGGCTTTTATTTCGCCTGTTCTTTATCATGCTCTGTGTTCATGATTCTTTAATGACATTTCACTACTATAGAAATGGATTTCGCCAACACTATTTTGATTCTATTAGAAGCATCGGTAAAAACATATCACCTCCGATAATTGAACCGTTGATAAAATGGCTTTCACCACCATTTGTGGCGGTGAAAACCAGTTTTCAGTATATAGCCGGCCGAAAACCCTAGCCCATTCTCACTCGCTCACCGACACCCCACCTCATGACCACCTCTCTCTCCCTTACTCGAGCACTTCCTTCCGCCTCTCTCTCCCTCACCAGCACTCCTCTAGGCCCCTCTCAATCCACTGTAGCACCACGGCCCTAAGATCGGATCTGCCATCGGCGCCAAGGCGAACACCACCCATGGCCCTCAGCAGCATGGCGGATGCCGCCCAACATAGAGATGGACCTCGATGTCACAATCCTGGCCGCTAGGGGCAGCTAGCGTAGACCATCCACAACTGGATTCAGGTTCTTTGCCGAGTGCACGAGGCACTCGGCAAAGGCCTAATTGCACTCGGCAAAGCCTTTGCCGAGTCTGACACTCGACAAAGAACACACGGCAAAAAATTAATCGGCAAGACCTCTTTGCCGAGTGTCTTTTTATCGGGCACTTTCGGCAAAGGCTTTGCCGAGATTCTGATGGCACTTTCGGCAAAGAAAAAAGCACCGTGACGGCGCCCGAATCCGTCGACGGTGGCTTTGCCGAGTGCCAACCCCTGAGCACTTCGGCAAAGATTTTTTATTTTAAAAAAAAAATTCTTTGCCGAGTGCCCACCGGCCTGCCTTCGGCAAAGTTTGATTTTTTTTTTAAATTCTTTGCCGAGTGCCCTCTAGCCGCACTTTCGGCAAAGTTTCAATTTTTTAAAAAATTCTTTGCCGAGTGCCCTCTAACGACACTTCGGCAAAGTTTGATTTTTTTAAAAAATTCTTTTGCCGAGTGCCTTCTACCGACACTTTCGGCAAAGTTTCAATTTTTTTTAAAAAATTTCTTTGCCGAAAGTGCCCTCTAACCGCACTTCGGCAAAGTTTGAATTTTTTTAAAAAAATCTGAAGCTCCCATGTTGCTCGCTTTACTCCTTGCTTTAACCTGCAAATGAACCAAACAGCACAAAAGAAAATAAGTAGCCAATAATGAACTAAAAGAAAATAAGTACCAAGTAATGAGCTTAAATAGATCTAACAATACCTAGGCTAACAAAAGCTCTAATTAGCATTTGAAAATCCACTAAGCTCCAAAACTATAAACTGCTAGCTCTTGAAACCAAACTGCAAGTACATGCAAAGCCATTTCAACTATTTCGTTCTGCCTTCACTGAAAAGCATGTACTGAAACTGAGGTAATTTTGCAATTACAGAGACAAGCTAACTACCGACACAACCTGAGAAGTGAGAAGCACAAGAACTGATGGACCAACACAACCTGAGAAGCACAAGAACTGATGGACTTGCACCTGTCCTCACCGAGTTCCAAAACCCAAATCCAAGCAAATGAAATAAAATAAGTTTCTGAACAGGCCATTTGACATTGCTAACAACCTTGCAAGTGAATCATACATATTCGAATCAGATTGTTATATGGCAATAAAATAAGTTTAAATTTACCAAATGCAAGCAGTCAGTTCTTACTACTGACTTTATAGTTCTGATCCTATCAATAACGTCTACTTTCAATGCAATTCAAAGGCAAGGATAATGCTTGTTTAGGTCACAGTTTGAGGAGATATCAGTCAAGATTTGTTGTCTTTGCAAACCTTGAAGGATTTTATAAAATGTACTCAGATCATGAAATCTATTCTTTATAGTATTCAAGATGTAGCTAGCGACATTTCCTCATTTACAAATTGTGATGAAATTGATTATTTGGTACTCAACCAAAGTCTACACCCATTGAAAATATTATTTAAGATAATTGTCATGATCATACCAAAATACA